GCCTTTGTCTTGTCATGATTATTTCGCCAAACCAACTTGAAGCACTTATTTTGAAAATTATTAATGATATTTTTTGGTAAGTTATATATTGAAGGGAAAAAAGATGATTAAGTTCTGGTAGAATAAGGGGCTTCAATGCCGTACTTCTACTGAAAGGCGTTGGCACTTTTTCACTATAATTACTTTTAATAAGAGGCGACTAACGGGATCGGGTGGTCAGGGTCCCTGACTTGGTTGATGCATGTCATCGTATCCCAATTGTGTGGATTGATGCTCATGATGTCAATCACTGGATTGTCTGGTCCAGACTCGATTTTTTACAGACCACCGTCATATAGCTGTCAGCGAGCATTGATCACCCGATCCCGTTAGTCGCCTCTTACGACAAGCGTGACTTGCTTCAGACCAATTCTAACCCTGGATCTTCACCGGTTATAATGTAAGTAAATGCGCAGCTGTTATAACAAGTATTATCATGCCCTAAAGTGAGACTGGCCAATCAAAGAGCAGAACTTCAATCCCATATGGCGACTTTTCTTGCCGTAAGAGAAGACTAACGGTATTGGGTGGTCAGGCTCCCTGACTTTGTTGATGCATGTCATCGTATCCAAATTGCGTAGATCGATGTTCATGATGTCAATCGCTTGATTGTCTGGTCCAGACTCGATTATTTACAGACCGCCGTCATATAGCTGGAATATTGCTGAGTGCGGCGTTAAACAACAAACAAACAAACAAACAAACAAAACTTTTAATTATCTATTCAAGATTTAACTAAATTATATACTAGTACCCAAATGTGAGAATAGTCGTTGTTCCCAATCCAATTTCCATTGTGAACGGCATCCTCATTTTTAACTCTTTTAGAATATAGAATTATAGATCTACTTGAGTTTATTTTGAGTCATGCAGCCAGGGTTCTCTGCCATCTAACATGCATGTCGTATCATTTGCGAATTGTTTCAAAAGATCTTCGTCATCACCTGTTTGTGTTCCTTTGATATGATTGCTATTCCTTATATTTATTATATAATATTATTTGCAAGTATTTCTGCGCAAAGTGTAAACAAGTACGGCGAAAGGGGATCTCCTTGGCGACAACCCCTCGAAATATATGTACTGAAGAAATTGGACCCAAACACCTTTACCAGAACACAAGATTCAATTCCAATGTAAAAGCTTCTTACCCATTTACGAATATATATCCCAAAGTTAAAATATGCTGGTGTCATCAATAAATTCCATGTCGACAGTTCAGTTGTCCTTTTAAAGTCGGTGAGCAACAACACACCTGGTATATGACTCTCTGTGTGTTCCATCACCGCCATAAACAGGTTATTTCTCCAGTATATTTCCCAGACATAAACCTGTATGATCATCTTTATTAACCAACAAGCTACGAGTAATAGCGGATTATCTGTCCCGAGTGAATTAATGGTGCCTTTGCCAGGCGATAATCCGTTATTCCAAGTTTTGGCTAGGCTATTACTCTTTGACATATTAAGCGAAAATGAAGGGAAAAAACGTATGAAGTGTCAACACTAAAGAGAAACTTCACTGAAGATGACGTAATGTTATGAATTTGTAGGGGGCACGGGTGGCACCGATTATGTTTCTAGGTTTGTCAGCCCCATACTCGTGCTCGTGGGTTTCACCAAAGTGGTAAACGTCTGAGACTTGCATCACTTTGGGCTTTCCTCACACATTAAGCTGCACGCCGCGATATAACTGTAATACTGTTAAAAGCGGCGTTAACCCAACTCACTCACTCACTATGAAATTGTGACGTCATGAACACTGGTTGACATGTCTCATTTTTCTTAAATGGGAAGCACTGTGACTTCATATGGCTTCAATTGATCAATCATCACTGAGAATAGCTAAATTGCGCGTGTGCAAATATCCCAAATTTATTACACACAATCATTTTATCCTTAATGGGTAATACGTGCATTTTTACAATACTGTCCAGTACTTAAAAGTAGGAGACTGCTATCCTTACATTCAATATTTTATAACATTAGATAATTAGTTGTTTCCAAAATGAGGACTACAGTACTTTTTGTTTATTTGTTTAACGCCGCAATATTCCATCTATATGACGGTGGACCGTAAATAATCGAATCTGGATCAGACAATCCAGTGATTGACATCATGCGCATCGATCTACACAATGGGAATACGATGCCAGGCATCAACCAAGTAAGTAAGTCACCGATCCTGACTACCCGATCCCATTAGTCGCCTCCTACGACAGGCGTAAGAGGCGACTAACGGGATCGGTGGTCAGGCTCGCTGAACTTGGTTGATGCATGTCAACGATCCCAATCGCGTGGATCGATGCTCATGATGTCAATCACTTGATTGTCTGGTTTAGACTCGCTTATTTACAGACCGCCATCATATAGCTGGAATATTGCTGAGTGCGGCGTTAAACAACAAACAAACTAACCAACCTACGAGACGCATGTAATGGCCTTCAGCAACCCATGCTTGAGATACTCATCACGTATCTTGCCTCGCCATTTCTGCTGCATGCTTCCTTGTCTCCCTGATGCAGCTTGAAGAGTCTCCCTCAATTGCCAGTATAACAAGTAGGCAGCAGAGGTTCTGTCTCGCACAATGTCAAGCTTATCTATCCACACCTTATCAGCAGTAACGTATGTATTATTAATGTCCTAGAATGGCTTTGCAATAAACAAAACAAATGTTTAAATGTTTACAATTAAGATGATTAATACCAGCTGAATTTTCAACCCATGCAAGTTTTAAATTCAAATTCACAACCACCGTAAACACTGGGTAAGGTATCTCTGATCCTGTGATAGATAAAAAGATTCACAAAATATTTAACAAGCGATGAATCGAAAAGCTTAAGTGCTCACAAAATACGAGAAAACACCCGCCTGTGAATGATAGCCGAACAAATACGTTTACTATAGTGACGGGCCGGCGGGGTAGCCTAGTTGGTAAAGCGTTCGCTCGTCACGCCGATGACCCGGGTTCGATTCCCCACATGGGTATACAGTGCGTGAAGCTCATTTCAGATGTCCCCCGCCATGATATGCTGGAATAGTGCTAAAAGCGGCGTAAAGCTATACTCACTCATTCACTATAGTACCGTATGTATCCAGACATTGGTGAGAGTCTTTCTTTCTTGGTGAAGCGCCATCAATGCTTTACATCTAATAACAGAATTCTAGACATCAAACACGCATTATAAAATCAGTTCATTATTATATCAAAGCTTATTGAACGTGTTTTCTTACGAAACAGTCTTTACTGGTCTAGTGTTTAAAGTGCGACATTCAACGTACAGGTACAGCGAGCTGTGATGCATTGATCTCAGTATGACTGCGTTCAGAGTTCATCCCTATACAATATGCAGACATTGTAGTATCTTACGAAGATATGTGTCATCTTTTCGTTGTGTTGGTGTCAATCTCATTAAAATCAGATCTTATATGCATCTCATATGCGTATGATGTGTTCTCCCCGTATGATTTATTTCAAAAATCAATGACGGTGGCCTTTAAATATATTGAGTCTGGACCGGACAATCCAGTGATTGACAACATGACTCCCCGAACCTTCGGGGTATGATGACACGCAAATAAACAAATCACCGAGAATGACCACCCAATCTATTTAGTCGCCTCTTTTTAGTAGTATAAGGCGCCGCAATGCATTTGCAGAGTTGCGTCCCTTAGGCTATCAGGAACTGATCAACGCTGGTTCGAACAGTACCTTCATTTTGATGTTGATATGGCGTTTTTTTTCATTATTATTTGGTTTACGGATCCGCTGACGTTAAAATCAGGAAAGTAGAACTAAACAATTCTCAACAAAGAGTTTTTTTTTATAACCGCCAAGTCTGAAAACCCCATTTAGCCATAAAACATATCGCAAATTGTTTTCATGGATGTAACCACAAGATAGTAAACTCAACACAACAGCATGTTTAGATAATTGTTCAGGATCCTGGTCGTCATGACATTGAATTATAATGTTGTTTTTAATACCTAAATGAAAGTCCTTTTTCTTCTTTTTTTCGACCACCGACTTCAAGCCTCAAGACAAAAAACCCGTAAAGCAACTGGTTAAAAAGGGGCAAACATCACTGTATCAGGATTTCGTCAGCAAACATGCATGCCGTTACATAACTGAAAAACTGGTTTTGATAATTTTTCTCGCCGTGTTGGTTGCGAGATGCGTGAGTTTTCAGGTATGCAACCCATGCTTGTCTATACATGAGGCTACTAACGGGATCGGGTGGTCAGGCTCGCTGACTTGGTTGATGCTCGTCATTGTATCCCAGTTGCGTAGGTCGATGCTCATGATATCAATCCCTGGATTGTCTGGTTCAGACTCGATTATTTACAGTCCGCCGTCATACAGCTAGAATAATAGTGCGGCGTTAAACAACAAACAAACAAACAAATCCATTGTTCAAGGTGATGCTGTATTTACCTATATTAGATCCTGTGCTTTAAAACTCGAAATACAAAATTCTGTTGCTTGAAAATTCGAGCAGATACTGTATGGCAGCAGTCGATTTTATGCATTGACCCCATCGGTAACTGTTAACAAGATAACATATATATTATCCTTTGTATGCGTTCAGAGAGCATAAAATAGAATACAATTTTATGGTCTCTGATGTTATCAAAAGTGATATAATATTTCTTGTAAGAATGCTAACACTTTAACATGCATATCAACTTTGCAAAAAGGATTTTTTAAATATTTTTATCCCAAAGACCCGCTAAGTCGAAATAAGTTACAATCACACGAACCACACCCTCAGGTAGTCGAAGATATTGGCGGGAAAAACTGCTCGAATGAGTTATGTGTAAATAATTCATATTGTATTCTTTGACAATAGTATAAGGGAAGCAACTACTGTTGGGCATGGTAGCACAAAATCGTGTTTACATGTTCGACTTGCATACTTCTCGACACGACGATGTCATGCTCTGCACAAATTTACATTAGAAGGGAGGTAACCCATGTCGGAAAGAAGTGATTGTTTCCGAAGTTTCTATCTTTTCGTGAGAACCGATTGAGTTTACGTCAGATTTGGAGGATCGGAACTATATTTATGCACAATGTGTGGTAGAACCGCTTGGTAAGGATATACATACAGCTGTCACTGTAAGACAAGAGATGACAATATTATCGAATGTCGTTTGAGCTTTTTCAGCGTCGCCTAATTTCGTTACAAAACACAACAGTGTCCCTGGTACTGTCTGTGTGTCACATGGCATTTCGTTTCACAGCGTGCTACATTGTATGATAAAGTTCAACAAGATTTACTGTCACCATAATAATACTGATATTATCAAATACACAGGGGATAATAATTGTTGACTTATTTATGTGCGTCTTTGACACCTCAAATACGATACTTGAGAACAACCCATGAAGAATTATTCTTCAGCAACGCATGCTTGTCAAAAGAAATGACTAACGGGATCGGGTGGTCAGGCTCGCTGACTTGGTAGATGCATGTCATCATGGACACTTAATACGATATTTAGGGTCCATGATGTCATTGTGTGGACTGATGCTCATGATGTCAATCACTGGATTGTCTGGCCCAGACTCGATTATTTGCAGACAATGGTCATACAGCCTGAATATTGATTATGTTGATGAGTGCAGCGTTATAAATAAACAAACAATCAATCAAACAAACAATCACAACTGTTACAAAATCTTTATAAGTAGCTGAGGAAAATATAGAATGACATGACAGCCACATTGTATTCCGTGTCAACATGTGTGGAAGGTGTGTTTTCCTAGTATGTCAATTAGCACTGTTATTTAGGAAAATAACGTCATTGGTCAGCGGGTCATATCATTCTAACTGTAGTTCGACTGGTGAGAAGCTAAAACCTCTTGTCTGAGAAACCTCATTTTAAGAATATGAAGACTGGCATGCCTCCCATTTATTTAAAAGCCAATAAGAAAACCTGGATGAATGCAGCACTCTTCACTGATTGGCTGGAGAAGTTGAATATGCAAATGCGCCAAATTAATTACATATGTGAATTGAACATGTGTGCCGATGCCAGACCTTAAAACGTGATAGAACAACATGTTGGTTGTCTGGGATGTTTTTTCCTTTCATGTTTCAGACTGTGCTGAAAACATTTGAGACTACTGACCTGTACATGGCTCTTTGCATCTTTTACAGTAGATTTTTGTGTCATATGGATTTTTTATAAGTTGAGATAACTGACCAAATAGAATTTTGCAAGACTCAAACTTGAGACAAGTGGCTAAAGTTGCAGACTGTTGTTTTCATTTGAAATTGACAAACGGAGAAAACCGACACTGGTTGTGCATAATGCTAGTATAGAAAGAGTTCAATATTGAGATGCTAGAAATGCATAAATATGTTTCCTTCCATTTTTCAGTGCTCTTGCACCTGATGACATTGTAGGTAAATGTACCTATCAACGTCGGTCGTCGGGGCAACGTGAGAAGCCAGTTTGGCGGGACCCCCCAGGAGGCCAGAAGTACTACCCCTCACACAACATTGCCCCAGCCTCACACACGTAAGATCCCTTGTGGTCAAGTCACTAGTACCATCATTTCCATATGCACCACACTTAACATTCAAGGTTACTGTGGTTCGTGGTCTGGGACCAATTTATTGTCCAGCCATTGTGTCGCTTTATAAGTGAAATAATCTTGAACGCGACGTTAAACCCCATTTCACCTCACAATCTCCCCAGAGGTTGTAGGGGCATGGGTTGTGTCCCTTTGGCGTTCCAGAAACTTATGATCATAGGTTCAAATCCAAGATTCGCCTTGATTGTGTTTCTAGGTCTGTCAGTCCCGTGAGTTTCACCAAAGAAGGAAATGTCTAAGACCTGCATCACTTTAAGCTTTCCTCCCACATCAATCTGATGTGTTGTGGTATAACTGAAATACTGTTCAAAGTGGCATTGATTAATGTTAATGTCTCTATTACTGGGGTAGTACTGTTAAAATGATGTGAGTATTAAAATCTGAGTAAAAGTCCAGTTTGCTCCCTTGCCGAACTAGGCTTTACTTCCAGAGTTATGGTGTGGCTGGACTAACGAGTCTGTGCATCATCCAATCAAAATTGTGCAACAAACTAGACATCTGGCCAGGCCTCAAAGTTGCGACTAAAACGGTCGCCAATGCGACCTAAATTTGAGTTTGTCTACTGTCTAAAATCCAGAGGTGGCCAAAGGACTACCTTGAGAAATATCTTGTTGCGACTGAATTCTATTGCTACACATCTGTAGACACAAATATAAATAACAGCTGATCTTGGAAAACACATCTGCTAATAATTGTACTCGCAAACAATTCCTCCTAAAGTTGACAAATACATAAATATTAATCTAATTAGTACATTATTTTAGTTGACAATGCTCATTGGATAAGCAAGGATATACCTATATAATCTAGTATATAAACCCTGGCAAAAACTACGTACATGGCATAAAACGATCTGACCCTGCATACACTGAAGTTGACAGAAGCTTTATCTTTTCTCAAAAAATATAAAAGTCAGAAGGAATGCATGCATAGTCAGAAAGAAATGCGAACATTTAGCGACTTGTAGCGTAACCATTGAGTCTTATTGTTATGGTTATTGTCATTATGTCACATGACTAACCACAGCTTGGGTAGTCCTGTGGGTACCCGGGTCCTACTCAAGACCACCCGATCCGAGTACCCGAGTTAGATAATGTACACCCATGTACACCCATGTACACCCACTAGCTTCCCTGGCTGGGAGACACGTGAAGATCCGGGGTAGTATAGGTCTTCAGCAACTCATGCTTGCTGTGAATGGCAACTATGCTTGTCATAAGAGGCGACTAACAGGATTGGGTGGTCAGACTCACTGGCTTGGTTGACACATGTCATCGTATCACAATTGCTTAGATTGATGCTGATGATGTCAGTCACTGGATTGTCTGATCCAGACTCGATTATTTACAGACTGCCTTCATATAGCAGGAATATGGCTGGTGCAACGTGAAACAACAAACAAACAAAGCAGGCCTGGACTTGTTTGTTTGAAATGACAGTGATAATACCGTTAAAATGCAATTTTTTCCAGACCAGTTTTGCTGTCGAGCAAGCACTATGGGGGTGAACTAGAGGGTGTGGCCGAGCGTGTGATCCAGCCAATGAAGTGGGGCCTCACCCCGGCCTGGCACAAGGGGGACCCGTACAAGATTGAATATGAGACCAACAACTGTCGTGCTGAAGGCATGCTGACCAAACGGACGTTCAAAGTACCACTCGAGAAGGGGCGCAGATGTGTCATTCTGGCAGAAGGGTGGGATATGTGTTATTGTGTCAGAAGGGTGGGATATGTGTTATTGTGTCAGAAGGGTGGGAGGTGTGTTATTGTGACAGAAGGGTGGAATATGTGTTATTGTGTCAGAAGGGTGGGAGGTGTGTTATTGTGACAGAAGGGTGGCAGATGTGTCATTCTGGCAGAAGGGTGGGAGATGTGTTATTGTGTCAGAACGATGGGAGGTGTGTTATTGTGGCAGAAGGGTGGGATATGTGTTATTGTGGCAGAAGGGTGGGATATGTGTTGTTGTGGCAGAACTGAGAAGGGTGGCAGATGTGTCATTCTGGCAGAAGGGTGGGATGTGTTATTGTGGCAGAAGGGTGGCAGATGTGTCATTCTGGCAGAAGGGTGGGAGGTGTGTTATTGTGACAGAAGGGTGGGATATGTGTCATTTTGTGTGGCAGAAGGGTGGGAGGTGTGTTATTGTGGCAGAAGGGTGGCAGATTTGTCATTGTGTGTGGCAGAAGGGTGGGATATGTGTTATTGTGGCAGAAGGATGGCAGATGTGTTATTGTGGCAGAAGGGTGGGAGGTGTGTTATTGTGGCAGAAGGGTGGGATATGTGTTATTGTAGCAGAAGGGTGGCAGATCTGTCATTGTGTGTGGCAGAAGGGTGGGATATGTGTTATTGTGGCAGAAGGGTGGGATATGTGTTATTGTGGCAGAAGGGTGGAAGATGTGTGTTTTTGTGTGTGGCAGAACGATGGGAGGTGTGTTATTGTGACAGAAGGATGGGAGATGTGTTATTGTGGCAGAAGGATGGAAGATGTGTTATTGTGGCAGAAGGGTTGCAGATGTGTTGTTCTGACAGAAATGTGTTGTTCAATAAAACGTTTCATTCTTTTTTTCAGATTCTTTGAATGGAAAAGGAATGAGAAGGTGAAGCAGCCATATTACATCTACTTCCCTCAGTCAGGTGGTGAAGGAGAGGTGAAAGGTCAGATATTCCATGTCATGTCGTAAATAGGAAATACAGTGGTCCCTCGCTACAACGCTACCAATGGGGTCCAAATAATTGGTGGGCGTTATAGACGATGAGCCGTTTAACTGAGGCGGAGGCGGAGGCGGGGGAGCGCGCTCGGCCAATCTCACGATCTTCGCCTTGTCTTGCACATTGCAATGATACAAGTGATTTACCATTCATAGTGTAAAAATATATATCCATTATGTTTTTGCCGTTTGTTATTATTTACAAGCCTTAACTGTCACATTCAATGTGAATGTAGTCTACTTACATGAAAATATCGATCGATAATGGTAGTAACAGACGCTATGAGTGAAGAGCCAATCACAATTCATTACACAAATACAGAGTGTTTCAGTGGCATTGATTGGTCATGTTGCTTAAAATACGGAAAACGAGAGTTTTGACCAGCACTATGCGCATTCATACATATTCATACAAATATAGATACACATTCAAGCCAGATTAATTAGTTCGATACGGTTACTTGATCCGAATCAAAAGGAATGACCGCCGTGTTGTGACAGCAACATGTGAGTTGACAGTGTCGCCTCAGATTGGATTGCCCACTAATTAAGAATATAAACTTCGCTTGTGGTTCTCTTTTATTGCATGCATGCGCTTCTAAGATCAAAGGATGTATAGTGTGAAAAGTTAACAAGTAGAACAATTGTATTTCCGGGACTTGCCGTGGATGTTTTCAAACAGATTATTAGAACTCCATTCAGCGATAAACGGTTGATTATGCAATGAGAAGCGTTATGTGCAAATGAACAACGAACAACAATACAATCATGTCTGTGTAAAACTCTCAGTATTAATAGTGTACATAAATTTTGGGAGCCATGCGTTACCGCTCGTAGTAACTGAGGTAGTGCTTTATCGAAGAGCACAATAGCGAGGGATCACTGTACATGGTCACTTCCAGTTATTCTTAGTTAGCATTTTCAGGTTTCAAAAGGTCCCCAGTTATCAATACTTGTTGAAGAGGCACCTAAATGCATCGGATGTTCAGCCTTGGTGACTCGGTTGACTGCGTATCCTTGTACCATAGTGGTGTGGGAAATTGCTCATAATATCAACCGTGATATAACTTTAATAGGGCTTGAAAAAATACAAGAATTTCTTTTAAAGCAATGACTTTTGAAAATATAGTGCCGGTGGGCTGTGTTGTTGTTTTTTTCTTGTTCAAACTAGTATGTAACCAAATAAACAGTTGTGTACCTTCAACTTGGGAAAGGGCCTCCCTATATAAACAGGCATACAAACTCCTATTGCCGCCATGACCATAACACCAAATACACAGCAAAGCAGTGTACATGAAAAGGGAAGTAACTGTGTGCTATATTGGATCGCATTGTGTTTAAGTATGAGGATTTTTATTATTTTTTTTAAAATGGAAATAAAAACGAAACATGCAGCAGACTTTATGGCGGTGCGGGCTGTGCCTGAGAACCAAGACTATTAATTTTTTTTTAGCCTAATACTGAGTGTGGCAAGCAACCAAGCAATGAAACTTTTGTCATCTTCACAAAAAGTATTCTAAAATATTTCTTAACACATTTTGAGGGTTGTAATGATGCAGTAAAACCTCTTTATCTGAAATCCTGTTAACCTGGATTGAGTAAGTAAGTGAGTTTTACGTTGCTTTTTAGCAATATTCCAGCAATATCACAGCAGGGACTCCAGGAATGAGCTTCACACATTGCACCCAGGTTTTGAATCAAAACGGGTTAATCTGGAAACCTTTGCTGTTGTTTGGAACATCTGGTCTATACCAATGATTCCTTATCTGGAATTATTCCATCTGGATTGTTCCCCTTTGAATGGGCAGAGTGGGCAAGCGGTCAAAAGTGCCATGCCATAAAGCAACAGATGCTGAGATCGTATCCGACTGGTGACCGGGTTGTTATTCAGCCTTGGGACCATCAATGTTTACAGGTCTTTGCAGTGTTGTCACTACTTCTGGGCTGCGTGTAGAGGGGGCAAGGGCCCTGAGATGATGATGTGCCTTACCAGCCTGACTGTGCCAGGATCACCAAAACCCTCTTTGCTGCATTTTTATTTTAATCTGTAAATACTACTACTACTAATAATAATAATAATAAACAAGAGTTTGCCACTAATGTAGCTATATCCCCCGCCCCTGTTGCAGAATTTATGACATAATTAAATCTAAACAAAACCTAACCTTTTTTAACCGAGGTGAAACTTGTCATGGAAATGGTAAAAAAGGAAAGAGTTTTGAACCTAAGTCCATCTTGCTGCAATCATGGCCATGGAAACGTAAAAAAAATAAAAAATTCTAACATTTCTAAATTGCAAAAGGCACCAGTTCAGCATGTACCTGACAAACCTGCAAAGTTTGATGAAAAAATATTGAACGGTTTATGAGTTATGCTCCAGAAACGAACCCTACCCTCACAGAACCTCTTGTTGCCAAGGAAACGGAAAAATAATTTTTTTTTAAATTTCTAAATACCCTACCCTCACAGTCCATCTTGTTGCCAAGGAAACGGAAAAATAATTTTTTTTTAAATTTCTAAATAGCAAAAGGCACCAGTTCAGCATGTACCTGACAGACCTGCAAAGTTTGATGTAAAAATATTATGCTCAGGAAACGAAACGTGACACGTGACATCAGCCTCGGGTATATCTGCTGTGGTGTGGTGGGGAAGACGGCAGTTCTGGTGATATTTGTGTGCCTGTGTTGGTGTGTCACCACACCCTTTGTCATGCTCACAATGTCAGCCTTGGGTATATCTGCTGTGGTGTGGTGGGAGAAGGACAGAACTCGGTGACAAATCCATTCAATACATAAAGATGGGAATATGGTTTTTCAGAAGAGAAGCCAGACATCAAATCTGAAATAAAACTTGAATCCATCTCGGTGAAGACTGAAGTGAAGTCTGAACCAGCAGATTCCCAACTGTTGGACCAGATCAAACAAGAAGACGGTGGTGTTACACAGGTGAAGTCCGAGGTGAAGGCAGAGCTGGAGGAGGACAATCTCAAGTCCGAGGTGAAGTCTGATGTGAAGGCGGAGAGCAATAACAATGAAGGTACTTCTGTCCACAATCTACTGTTTCAGTATCACTGACTTTTGAAAATCAAATCAATTGTCTGCACTAAATGTTTCCAATGCTAACAATCAGTGCATTAGCATCTTCCTGAAGCAAGGGAGTTAACTGACTATAAAAGTCCAGGTTCGTAAGCTGCCGTGCAGATTTGGGTTGAATACAGAATTTGCAAAGCATATGTACCGTCAACTTGGTGTCAACAGATATTTTCCTAAGATTTTCATGTTTTTGGTCAAGGTGCTCACAAAATTAGACCTGTTTTATAACAATATAAATCTTGATTATTGATTAGATCGTCTTCACTGGGTGCTGCCATTTTAAGAGAGGTTTAACCTGATTGATCAATAGAAGGGGCATAACTCATAATAGCCACTGGTGGCACTACGAAAGAACCCAGAAATTTCAGCCTATAAATGTTTGGTCGCGATGTTAAACCCCATTACCCCTCACCTCACCTTGCTATTGAATTTGCTTTCCAGACTTAACGGGGGACAAGTTGCTGACGATGGCCGGGGTTTTTGATGTGTGGAACCCCCCCGATGTAAGTGTCTGGTGAGGGAGTTCAATAATAACCTACAAGTGACGAGGAATAAAGTGTTGTGTTGTATTGAGGTACTCTCAGCACTATTTTACAAGGGACGTGCATGTTATATCAATGTTCAAGTAGGTTATTCTGTATATTGTCCATAGTTCTAGAAATGAGTTGAGAAAATCTAAAAAGAATTGTCTTTCTGTATCTCGAGTCAAAAGACCTCACTTCCATCAATCTAATTTGTTTAATGAAATTACCTAAAAGTGTGATGTCATGAAGAATACCGGTAAGAGACTTGATAATTTACTATTTGTGACAATGCGTTGATATGATGACACATTGTTAAAGGCTGCCTCGCAAACAATGAAAACAGTGGAACAATTAAGTGAATAGCCAATCAGCAAGAAGCAATAATGATGATGTTCAGGGAGAACTACTGACAATAATTGGTTATATGAAGGTCTAACATCAGTCACCTGGGGCCTGGCCGGTAGCCAGACGTGATAGTCAAAAAGTGTTTTACTGTCAGTGTTTGACTGTTTCCATAATTCTTCTTTCCTGGGAGTGTTTGACTGTTTCCATAATCCTTCTTTTCTGGGAGTGTTTGACTGTTTCCATAATCCTTCTTTCCAGGGAGTGTTTGACTGTTTCCATAATTCTTCTTTCCTGGGAGTGTTTGACTGTTTCCATAATCCTTCTTTTCTGGGAGTGTTTGACTGTTTCCATAATCCTTCTTTTCTGGGAGTGTTTGACTGTTTCCATAATCCTTCTTTACTGTATCCATGAATTGTGTCTACTTTATTTACTGTGACTGTTTGACTGTTTTCAGGGAGGGGAGCCGCTGTACTCCTACAGCGTCATCACCGTGGACGCGTCGCCCGCCATGGCCTGGATACATCACCGCATGCCGGTAGGGTGTCTGTCTATGTTGGGATGTATTCAGGAAGTTCAAAGCTTCTTAAACAATAACCATCATCATCCTTTCAAAATTTCAGAATTGCATTTCTTTACACTTTAAGAAACTAAAATTCTGAAACTGAATTCATTCGGCCTCCAGATCCAGATAAATCCCGGTACTAATCATGATTTCTGTGACTTGCACAGGCTATTCTACAGACAGATGAAGATATTGATGCATGGCTGGATTCTGACAATGTCCCTCTGCATAAAGTGAGTCTCCCTTTGAGCTTGTTTGTTTGTTTGTTGTTTAACGTTGCACTAAGCAATATTCTAGCAATATGATGGTTTTCTGTAAATAATTTACTCTGGACCAGACAATCCTGTGATTGACATATGACAATCAATCTATGCATTTGGGATACGATGACATACATCAATGAAGTAGGCGAGTCTTGCTTACGACAAGAATGGGTTGCTGAATTCTCTACCCGCATCTTCACGGGTCATAAATGCATTTCACAATAAACGGGCAGTCATGTTGAGATTCCAGGTCAAAAGGAGCACAGGCTTGCATCAACAGCAGTACATTTGTGTTCAACAACTCCATCCATCCATCCATCCATCCATCCATCATTCATTCATTCATTCATTCATTCATTCATTCATTCATTCATTCATTCATTTTCTCATCATTTATTCATTTATTCATTCATCCATACTTCATCCTCCCTATTCGTGAAGATCCAGGGTAGAATAGGTCTTCAGCAACCCATGCTTGTTCCCCGTGAAGATCCGGTAGAATAGGTCTTCAGCAACCCATGCGTGCCGTAAAAGGCGACTATGCTTGTCGTAAGAGGCGACTAATGGGATCGGTTGGTCAGGCTCGCTGGCTTGGTTGATGCATGTCATCGGATCCCAATTGCGTGGATTGATGATATCAATCACTGGATTGTCTGGTCCAGACTCGATTATTTACAGATCGCCGTCATATAGCTGGAATATTGCTGAGTGCGGCGTTAAACAACAAACAAACAAACATTCATTCGCTTACTGGAAATGTAATGACACAAACATTAAAACTTTACTCTTATTTGTGAAAAGATTTCAATACATTCAAACATTACACTGAAAACAATCATCACAAAAGTGTTGCTGTGACCTTTGTGTCTGCTCGTGGCCATTGCCATGGTCAGTTTGTCTGCAATCATGGCAGGGGAGTGCATGTTCCAGTCATGAGGAAACCCAGTCTTAATCTATTAATTCAATATGGCCACTTTGGCAGACATGTTGTTTACCTCATTGTGGAGTTTTCTAATTTTCACAATAACTCTTGGCACAGTGACATGTGTTTGACTGTTTGTTTCAATGAGTAAACACAGAAACAAATTATGTTTGTAGTATTTTGATAAAACACGTTCCATGTTTGCAGGCAGTGAAGATGATTCACCCGATCGAGGGAGTGACCATGCACGCCGTGTCTCCAGTGGTCAACAACTCCAGGAACAAAACACCCGACTGTGTCAAACTTTACGACCCAAAGTAAGTCTGTCATTTCGTGAAGCTATTAATATTAATTTGATCAACATTTTGATCAAACATTGAAGAAAATATCAGTGGTACTCCATATTAATGATTATGATGAATAAGTATTGCTTTCATAAGTCTGACAAGAGTGGGGATGGTTGGTGGTCCAATCTCAGTCTGCATCACACCAAAATATGTTAGAAGATAGTACTTGTTACCCTGCCTGGCGCTCGTCATTAAGGGGCTAAAACAAGGACTGGTTGGCTCGGAGTCACTGTGTACTGTGTCTGAGTGGGATATCCATGTTAAACTGCAGCATGGTGTCTCAGTGGGCTAGCACTAGAAAACTGGCATCATATATGTCATATACACATGACATTGTTCCCACCATGATGTCATACTGAGGTGGCGCCACCAAGGAGACATATTCATCCTTCTTTGTCCTCTGCCACCATTTAATATACAAAGGGTCCATTTTAGTTCAAGGTTCTTCATCTTTCACTATGTCATGAGACAGTAAGATCGTGAGATCCAACTAAATAGGGAGGTCTGACTTGGCCACTTGGTTGATTGTGTGTCACGGTACACAGATGGCATGGGACGTAGCTCATATCAGTCACTGGTTTCTTTGGTCTTAACTTGATTAGTGACAGGTCACTCTGGGATTTCTCTAGACCTTCTCGGAGGCCACGGCAAATGTCTGCAGCAAATGTCAATAAAAATCCTAGATTGAAATTATAAATTTTCAACTTCTGCTGTTAGTTATGACTAACGTGATGGCTTGGTCAAGCTGACTTGTATTTTACTGATAACACGACCAATGAAGAGGCAGATGATGTCATGACTAGTTGTACATTATCGCATTGAATTCAAATCTGAACATATCTCATCTTCCCGAGGCACTGTAAAAGTCCAGTTTCCACCCTTGCCAAACTACACTGGAATTTCCAGGCTTGATCGTAGTGCCACCAGTGGCTATTACCAGTTATGTCCCTTTATGTCCTACCTATTGACCAATCACATTCCTTTTCTCACATCGCTTCAAACAAAATGGCGGCACCCAGTCAAGACGATCTGATCTATAATAAAGATCGATATTGTAATCAAACAGGTCTTACCCAGTGAAGTGCATCAAATTGGTGAGCACCTTGATTAAAGACATGAACAGATTTGGAAAATATCTGTCGATGCCGAGTTGAAGGTACAATCCTGCTATTGACCGAAATCTGCATAGCAGTTTACAAACTGGATGTTGATTTTTTTACGCAATTTTGGTTGGAATATGCATAGATTTGTTAGACCAGCCAAAATATGACTCAAGAATTCCAGCCTAGTTTGGCAAGGGTGGAAACTGGACTTTATAGTCAATTAGCTCCCTTTCCTCTGGAAGATGAATTTGCCTGCCAGGGTCACTTAGTGTGGAATCATAGAAAAATCCCTGTCACTATGAGTGCGCATTAAACAACAAACAAACGAACAAACGCTGATCTGAGCAACAGTCATAAGTCTGTGTCATGTCCTATTATTTCAATCCATGCTGGTTTAGGTACAATTGCTTTTTGTTGCAGAAAACCAAAGACTACAGCTGCCAGCAGCTTCATGATGAACTGGCTGGGGAAATCCAAAAGATCGGACTCTGCTACGGATAAGGTGTCGCCTGCAAAGAAACCGAAGTCTGCCACGTAGTCGTACATCATTTACCATTGAGGCATTTTATCTTTTACAAGCTGCTATTACAAAATATAAATCAAAAGAATTTCAACTTTCAAATTAGTGATTGAAAACAGAACAGTTTGAACGTGGCGGGAGTTTTGTGTTGGTAGAGTTGAGAGTTGATGTTCCGACACTTGCTTCAGCAGATTCCATCATCCATGGAAGTAAAAGTCGAAGAAAACATCACCCAGTGTATTAATCAGTGTAAATGGCCTACTCTAAGATAGTTACAGGGGCCATCTGTTTGTAATAGCAGCAGGTTCATCCTCATAACCGCAATAAATTCCATCTTCACATCATCCCAAAATAATTTTGAAAGCGTCAGTTCTGATAAAATCATCTCTACAGCTAATGAATATTTCAGCGTGAAACCATTATCTTTCCAGTCTGTAATTTGCTATTATTGTTCTTTAGATTTGCAATCATATTTGCAGGAACAACTTTAGCTAATGTATCAAAAAAAGGAGGGGTAGACATATATTTTTTAGTAAGAACACATTCTAGATTGTCTTTTGGTTTTGAAAGCCAATGTATTCGACAGCATTAGACACAGCAACATGGTAACATGGTAGGTGAACTAAACTAAACCAGTCATTAATACCAGTCATACAAATACTGGGTGAATAATGTGCTTCCCTATGGAGCAGACTGTCAATGCAGAGTTGTGTCCCTCATCTACCGGGATTGTTGATGGATGTATGTGGTGATTTAGTGCTGAAATATCACTCCTAGTTCAGGGCACTCTTCAAGAAGTTAGATCTGATATGGCAACATATAATCTCATTAACATCAGATATTTTACTCTGATCCAATACCTCACTTCATCCTGATCTGACAAATTCCCAACACTCTTAATGAATAAACTTTTGACGGCAATCAAATTGAAGGATTTGTAGCTAGTCTGATGTAAGCTTTATGAAAGAGTTGGTTTAATTCCTTTACCTCCAAATTACCTCTGAAATTATGGTCTGAACAAAAGAAAACACCAATGTTAACTTGATAGTACGTCAAGGGTGTAAATATTCACAAGCTGGGACATAATTGTTCTCCATTTGGAACTGCCTGTTTACATTCATTTTCAAACTACAGAAGTCGGATATGCTTCTATGAATGATCCACCCACTCACACTAAGAATGTGGAAGCCTCCAAAGTTATTTCCTGTTTAGAAAGTTCATCTGATGTGACCTGTTGTTAGGTCAGAGTTCAATCTTGACTGAGAAATATGAACTTGGAGTAAAAGATCTGAAGGGGTGAAAAAGCCACATTGTTTTGTTTCTCTTTGTTTGCGAGTTTTTTTGTAAGATGTGTTTTGTTGCACATGGACAAGAATAGGATGGCAAGATTAAAAGATAATAACTTGTACAAATACCATGTTGAGTTAAAATGATTCTGCATTTATTCTTCCATGTACACAACCTTACCATAAGTGTTCATTCATATATACAAGTAGCCCCGTGAAGATCCGGGTTAGAATACATCTTAGGCAACCCATGCATGCCATAAAAGGCAACTATGCTTGTCTCTTACGAGGCGTCCATCGGGCTGGGTGGTCAAGTTCATTACTTGGCTGATGCATGTCATTGTATCCCAATTGCGTGGATCGATGCTCATGACGTCAATCACTGGATTGTCTGGTCCAGACTCGATTATTTAAAGACCGCCGTCATATAGCTTGAATAATGCTGAGTGCGGCGTTAAACAACAAACAAAATGATATACATGTACATGGATCACTTCCAGTTACCCGTGTGTACTGTCAAACCAGTTTGTCATACGTTGTTGCTGGTGTTTCATTGGGAACAACAAATATGTTACATATAATCCAGTGTTTTTCCAAAGGGGTGACATTTTATGACATTTGTCAAGCATTTATTTTAGTTTGTCTAGTTTACAAGATGATGTGTAATCATCAGGAATGTTGTTGAAGATTATGAAGTAAAGAGTTTATCAACAAGACTGTTACATGTGTTGTGTTGATTATTCTGTTTGAGTTTGTTCTTCATCCACGATACTGTTGCTATAGTAATGACAAACCTATGAAGATCCGGGGTAGAAATGATCTTCAGCAACCTTGTCGTAGGCGACTAACGGTATCGGGTGGTCAGGCTCTCTGACTTGGTTTATGCATGTCATCTTATCCATATTGTGTAGACAGATGCTTTGGGATACGATGACATGCATCCAAGTCAGCGAGGCTGTCCACTCAATCCCGTCAGTTGCCTCTAACGACAAGCATAGTCACCTCTTATGACAAGCATGGGTTGCTGAAGACCTATTCTAACCCGGATCTTCACGGGTAGTGTTATATTAAATGCTGCAAATATAAAAATAAAAGGCATCATCATCATCATGTTCTCAATTTTGGCCATTGATGTTTGGGAAAAAATATCCCCAATCTTAACCAAATGTTGTTAACATGAATGTTTGTTACCCAGCGATGTTCTGCTCAGCACAACATCCCCCGCATGAATTTTTTTAACGAGTTTATATTTTCTTTGTATTTTTCATCAAGCTCCGTAAAACAGGGGCAGTAACTCTGTCAAAATTAGTCGAAATGAAACGGGACTGCGATATGCCTATCATCAACATGTCGACATCTTGTGTGTAGAGTGCCAGGGATATTCTCTGGAAACTGTAGAAGTTGATTTCACAAGCTTAGTACCCTCTGTGGGACGGACAGACGGATGGATGGACGGACTGCGCCACGACATAATCCCCCTTTGGCCATTCTGGCCCGGCGGGGGATAAAAACCCTAAATAGTTGAGTCTTGACCAGACAAACCTATACTGTCCTCTTTCATCAAACAGACCACATTACAAAACTGATTAACAGCCACACTCTCCTTTTGTCATGACTAACATTTCACCGCATATAACATTCAAATACCACTGAACCTGGTAAGCTACAGTGCTGTGGCGCCACAAACAGCTCGGACCAAGCTACATTGCCTGTGATGACGTGTCTTTAATGCTGCACTCAGCAACATTCCAATTATATGAGTGGTCTAGTGGTAGAGCGTCCGCCCGGAGAGAGGAAGGTCCGGGGTTCGATCCCCGGCCGTGTCATACCAAAAGACGTTAAAAGATGGTACTTGTTGTTACCGTTTCTGGCGATCGGCATTAAAGGGCTAAAACAAGGACTGGTCGGCTTGGAGTCCGTATACTGTGTCTGAGTAGGGTATCCAAGTTAAACTGCGGCATGATATCTGTGTGTGCTAGCACTATAAATCGGCATCAGTCCGGTCTAGTACAAGCAGCCACACACACACACACGTGCATGCACGTCGCTATATAAGCGCAATAATCTTGGACGCGACGTTAAACCCAATTTCACCTCACCTCACCAACTATATGATGGTGGTCTGTAAATTATCGCGTCTGGACCAGACAATCCAGTGATTGATATCATGAGCACTCATCTACACAATTAGGATCGATGACATGCATCAACCAAGTCAGTTCCCCTGACCACTCGATCCCTTCAGTCGCCCGTTATGGACCAGATAATGCAGTGATTGATATTGTGAGCAATGATCCATGACATCGACCAAGTCACCGAGCCTGTCAACCTAATCCAGTAAGTCGCCTCTTATGATTAGCATAGGTTGCAGGGGCCAATTCTGACCCACAGGGTCGTGTTAATGCATCTACTTGATAATACACAATATGGAGACAAACAGACATAAAATTTATTGATAATTTGCAGTAGATATTATCTCTTCTGTTGGAGGATGAGAACTTTCAGAGATTCAAACATTCCTTCCTCCAGACTCCGTCTGATTGTCTTGAAGAACTGGAAGTAGTGGTGGAAGTTGTGTCTGAAACAAGATGATGAAAAGGCCTTGAACTAACATGTATTGTACTAAAATTTAACTGTCAGCCTTGTTCTGCTAATCCATCATGTGTCGGGGCAATACACATTGTATGTTTGACAGAAGAGCTACCGGTATGTTGCCTGGAGATTTGATGGTGTTAAAAGGTAAGTCAAGTCAACATGGCATTTTTGCAGATTTTTTGTAATACTTTAGGGCATACTTAATCACAATTGCTTGACCAAAATAAATAAATTAAATAGCGTAAAACACGATAAAAAACGACACACAAGATCATCCCCCAAATGAAAAATTCCTCCAGTAAGGAGAATTCCGCTAATGGGGGTTAAAACAGGTTCCCGGTGTTTGACGCGCTGCACAATTTCAATGATCATAACGATCGGGCCCACATCCAGTCTACCTGCTTCTGTAATACATTGTCTTTCTTCAGTCTGCTCATCAGATTACCGTGTCCACAACTTAGGTCACCTTAGTAACAACAATAAAGATGCCTTTAGTTGTTTACTCAGGGGATTAATCCCTGACAGGCTTTTATTGTGGAATAGGGCCGAGGGCGCTGGTGTTTAGAAATAAATTGCTAGTTACCGATTGTTGTTATTTTAATTATTCACTTTGTCAAGATCAAAGGTCATTTTACACATTCAACAATGTATTGGATGTTATTTTTGGCTTAAGGCCACACCCCCAAATAGGTTTGTTTTGGACAGAGTGAGGGAGTGAGTGAGTGAGGATTTATGCCGCTTTTAGCAATATTCCAGCAATATCACGGTGGGGACACCATAAATGGGCTTCATATATTTTGCCTATGAGGGAAACAGAACCAGGCCTTCGGCGTGACTAGCAAACGCTTAAACCACTAGGCTACCCCACCACCCAGTACATGACAGCGAGTAAGAGAGAAGATGAGTGAGGCCCCATGGGTTGAGTCCAATGTTGATGATTTGAGACTCTCACACCAATAACAGCACTCCACACACTCACATCATTAACAAGACCCCGGCCAGCAGCTCCGAGGTGTTGAGAAGATGGTTGATGTACGATCTGGTGAACTTCTGACATGTATAGCAGGCACAGCCCTTCAGTAGCGGTGAGAAGTCGTCATGGTAACTGAAACAATGCATGTGCACCATTCTGCATTAATCTTCAATAGAAACTTGACGTGAAAAGTTTTACAGAAATTCTGAAACAAGATGGTGGTGAAATGGGGTTTAACATCGTGTCCATGTTTATTACACTTAGCGACATGAATGTGTGCGTGTGTGTGTCTGTGTGTGTGTGTGCGTGCGTGCGTGCATGTCTGTGGCTGCTTGTAGTAGCCCAGACTAGTGTCAATTTTATAGTGCTAGCCCACAGAGATACCATGCCACAGTTTAACAGGAATACCCCACTCAGACGCAGTCCAGTCCTTGTTTTAGCCCCGTAAATATATGCCGAGCGCCAGGCAGGGTAACAACAAGTAATATCCATAAATATCTTTTGGTATACATCCAAACATTGAAAAAGTAAAAGTGACACAAATTCAGTGAAATCATGAAAGTAAGTTTCTACAGTGAAATCATGAAAATAAGTTTCTACAGTGAAATCATGAAAATAAGTTTCTACAGTGAAATCATGAAAATAAGTTTCTACAGTGAAATCATAAAAGTAAGTTTCTACAGTGAAATCATAAAAGTTTCTACAGTGAAATCATGAAAGTAAGTTTCAACAGTGAAATCATGAAAGTAAGTTTCTACAGTGAAATCATGAAAGTAAGTTTCTACAGTGAAATCATGAAAGTAAACTAGGGATTGCTATCTTGTCAAATATTCACAAGATCTTACACTTTGTCTTTCAAGGAGATCTCATATCCAGTACTTGTGACAGTGTCGCCCCTAGACTCGGGATGCACTGGTTGGTGGTGGTCGTACTGGAAGACCAAGGCTCCTCCACGCTCCGTCACGGTGTAGGGGTAGCTGCCACAGAGAACATAACATTCATACCACTCAACCACGTTGAAGACCACCCATAAAAGGAAGGCTGTGTTGCAATACCCACCAGCCATGACAGAGTAACTATAGTCACATACGCAAACATTTTCATGGGAGAATTAGAAGAAAAACTTCTAAAAAACCCACTGATAGCCCCAACCTATACGTCAGATTCATAGACGATATTTTCCTCATTTGGACTTTGGGCTACACTAAGTTAGAATCTTTCATCAAAGAAATGAACCAATCACATCCCACAATTAAATTCACTGCCGAATTCTCTAGAGAAAAAGTAGCTTTCCTAGACACATGGGTCATATTCAACCAAGAAACCAATAAACTGGATTTTGACCTATATTGCAATCCCACAGATACACACCCACAGATACACACTCCTATCTGCTAAACACTTCAACTCCATAGGACACTCAACCAGAGACCTACACTATCAAATCATACAACAGCTCAAAACAGACCCTGAGTCAGCTCAGAGCACGGCCAGGCGCCAGTCCATTGAACTTAAATGGATATTTGATCTCAAAACCATCCACCCGCAAGGCATGAACGATAAGATCTAATCCTGGAATTCCCTAACCCACTTACCTATTCTATAGTCACATGAACAAAATGGGTTTTCTTTAACTTCTTTTGTGTAGTATATATTAAAGACATTTGACAATATTGTTCCTTTCACGTATGACTGATCGTTGTTGCCAATTCATTCATAATGCATATGCTTAGAATTAATGCAATGAGCTTAAAGTTTGTAAAGTAGGTCAGTAAACTAATTTGTTACAGCAATCTACTGCTGAACTTAAATACAGGAGTGATATTGGTTTGTTTGTTTGTTGTTTAACGCCACACACAGCAGTATTGCAGCTATGTGATGGTGGTCATGTAATTAGTATACAATGATATGCATCAACCAAAGCAGGGAGCTTGACCATCCGATCCTGTTAGTCGCCTCTTACGACAAGCATGGGTTGTCAGATACAATGTGTGACCTGGTTGAATGTCATCTCGCCCTGAAGGCGCTGATTGTTGCTCTTGCTGTCAACCACTAGTTTGTCTGGTCGTGATGTGATAAGATATAGGCAGCCATGGATCACAGGACTGATAAATTGTTGTCAGAGCCTACAGTCGGCAATACACTCATGGCTATCTGTAGATAATCCAGTCTGGGCCAGGCAAACCAGTGGTTGATGGTATGAGCACCAATCAAGATCATCACTGTAAACACAGGCCTCATTTCAGTCAGATCATGCGTGGTGTAAAAAGGAATGAGTGAGTGAGTGAGTGAGTGAGTGAGTGAGTGAGTGAGTGAGTGAGTGAGTGAGTGAGTGAGTGAGTCATCTGTGTGACGATCGAACGCTTTAACCACTAGACATAACTTACCAGCTATCAAAAACATCAATGCCAATTTGTATTGCGTGAAGAACTTCATCCGGCGGCCATATTGACTGCATGAGCCTTGGTTTATCTTCTGGGAGATGGTTCTGTCAAGGGGGGTAACTTTAGATTTACTATTGCACTCTATAGTCATAACATCTTTTGACCTAATTCAAGATGCATGAACTGCTAAATATAACCACATGCAGTCACATGACTGCCAATCCTTACCTGGATTGTAACCACATGATCAAAACTCAGAGATGTGTATCGCTAGCAAAATGGATATTTCTTGAAGAGCGCACTTTGCAATTTACATCACTACTATAGTTAATATTCCTTATCGCCAGAATGGCTTGTTTTAACTTCAATTATTAGCACACACGTAGCTATTTTCGTGACAAATAACTGCGATATTTCATGATTCTATGTCAAGTGGCGAGGGCTGTGGTGGACCCAGGATACGTAACAAAGTAAATATACTGGGTTCATTTAGATTCCTCGGAATGTCCCAGGGTACATGTTGATAGTTTCAGGGTCTTGATAGGCACCATGTGGTGTTGACATGTAACCATAGTTACGACCCCAAGAGGTCCCATCAGCCAAACCCTAAACCCAATCTTAATGAAGGATGCATGGGTTCAAGAGCCAAAACAAAAGGAAACCTACAAAGAACACAATTATTCCTTCAATACCTGTCATGGCGCTCATTTGCTTTGATGAAATTATAAAAAAATACAAAGATAAAAAATTCCAAAACATGAGAGTGTGCAATTAGCCACTTGATTGATTAATTAGGAAATACAAATGGTTCTTGGTCCATTGTCATGAAAACCAGAAAAATCCAAAATTCTTAAATAGCAAGAGGCACCAGCTCTTGGCTAGACTGATATATCTGCCAAATTTAATCCAGAAATATTGAACTGTCTTTGAATTATGCTCCATGGAAACCAGAAAAATAAATATTTAAAAAAATTCCAAATGGCACTAGTTTATGGCTAGACTAGTATTTGTGTAACCTTGATAAAGAAATTTTGGACAGTCTTTGAGAAACAAAACGTGAATACCAGTGTTTTCTGTAATAGTTCTTCAACGTCGGACATCTTGAAAGTTTCCGATGAAGGCCCAAGGCTGTGAAATCCTTCAATTACGAAACCTGTGGAGAAGAAGACAGCAGGGGTGAAACTGGTAACAAACTTCTAAAACATCAACCCAACATGTAAACATCACTCCACATGTTAGCAGTTTATTTCTGCTTTGTCCAACAACAAACTCCCTGACAGACTGGCCTGACCACTACCTGCTCAGTGACCAATCACTGACCTGCAACCTTCCTGGCCGCAGTCTCCTTCGCTGACCGCTCTCTCTCACCGCCATTCCAGCCTCCCTCCACCACCCCAAACACCTCAGTGTTCTTCAGCCTCTGCAAATACACGGATTTGGCGCTAATTTACATGATGTTTGTTGCCATGTAATGTAAATAATTAAATTTATGCGTCACCAAATTAATGTGAATGCCAATCCCTAGACTAAAATGTTAAAATTAGTAAAATCTAAATATATTTTTACATTTGTATACTTATCCTACATTACTCCTTAATGCATCTACCTTTTGACAAAGAAGACAGCACCTAGCGATGGTCCTTGATGAAGAAAAGAGGTTGTTTTCACTTACAGTCACTTGTGCAAGGACCCATCGCTGCTGTCATGTGACCGTCCGTGGTGATGTCGCATCTGATCATATTGCTGCTTGTTGCCAAACAGACATGTTGTGCCCTGTTTTTTACCTAACATTTTTAATTTTTGTGTTTTGCACTATGCTTTCACGTTAATTTTCATCTGCGACGGGTGAGGTATACACTAACTTATTATTATGATCGCATTTGTGTAATAATATGTATGTTTTCCATGTGAAAAGATATTTTCTTCCACGTGGCTCGTTTTCCGCCATTTTGTAATTGCATTACGTTTATCTCCTATATTCACTGTCTTCTTTGTCGTAAGGTAAGCAATAGATGCATTCAGGAGTAATGCAGGATAAGTAAAAAATTTAATGTGATCATTTGAGTTTAATACCTAAGCACTAAACAATAACATCAACATCATACCTCCATGTCAGAATGATGAGATCTGATTGGTCCACATGATCTTGATAAAATACTGTCTAACTCGTTTTGGAGGGTAATAAATTTCTCAGTGGGGGAATAAATCCCTTATACCCCGCCATGAGCAAGTCAGGCTGCACGTGGATTCTGAGAGGCAGAATAAATCCCTTATACCCTGCTTCAAAGCAAAAAGCCAAACGCTTTTTTTCCGAGTCAATGAAAGTCACCTAACATAGCGCAAGTTAATCTCAGCTCAATCGAACAGGGGGGCACGGGTGGCCCAGTCGTCTGAGGCGCCGCGATTCGCTGTGCAGAGTTGCGTCCCTTGGGCACACCAGAAACCTATGATTGTGGGTTCGAATCCCGGTTCTCCCCGATTATGTTTCTAGGTTTATCAGCACCATACCCGTGCTCGTGGGTTTCACCGAAGTGGTAAACGTCTGAGACCTGCATCACTTCGGGCTTTCCTCCCACATTAAGCTGATACGCCGCAATATAACTGGAATACTGTTAAAAGCGGCGTTAAACCCAACTCACTCACTCACTCACTCAATCGAACAGCTGTTTTCTAAAACCCCATGTACCCCTCGTGATCCTGCTACAACTTATAACATACCCCTCGAGATCAGTTGACAACATATGTTACAGTGAGAATACTGAGTCAGTGAGAAAAGGACTACATTTGACTAATCTGTACATGATCTCGTTGCAACTAATGTGATTACACAAACTAACCTCAGACTTGGACTGTTGTTCTAAAATTTGATCGAGGAAGGATAATGTTCTGTCTACGGATTTCACCGCCCGTTTCCGTGACGACTCAGCGTTTGTATCATGATCACTTAGAGCCTGACACCAGTCTGGCTGGACCGCTGACTGTATCTTTATATAGAGATCCACGTCTACCTGAAACATGTGTCACTCGTTACATTATTTCTCTACCTTATTGTGGCAGATGTGGTAGATTGGATATTAACATATATAACATAACTGATTAATGGTTTTTGATGTTTGTTTGTTGTTTAATGCACTCAGCAATATTCCAGCTATATGATGGGGGTCTGTGAATTATCAAATCTGGACCAGACAATCCAGTGATTGACATCATCAGCATCGATCCATGCATTTGGGATATGATGACATGCATCAACCAAGTCAGCAAACCTGTCCACCCGATCCCGTTAATCGCTTCTTCTGACAAGCAAAGTCGCCTCTTACGGCAAGCATGGGTTGCTGAAGGCCTATTCTACCCCGGATCTTCACGGGTGTAAAACAACATGTACAAGGAGAACAGCATGATAATTTCTTCAGCTGTTATTTCAAATATACTTCTCAAAAGAAGTTAGAGAACACCTAATTGTTTCATAAACTTCATTGCAGGTCGCTGCTACCATCAACACATCTTGTGATGGCATGTGGTCTGTGCACAGGTCGCAAATCAGGTGAAGTTTAGCAAGGTCGGTCGCGGAGATTCCTTGGAAGGGTAGCTGCATTGGCTCCTGAAAGTTTCTAGGGCTTTGGTCCTGCCCCACACTGGCGCACATGTAACACGTGTGGTGTCTCCTTGTGCAAGTGACTTTGTTTGAAATGTGCCTCTGTTCACCCAGCAGTGAATGGGTACCCAGTAGGATGAGATGGCAATGTGGTTGTTAACCTAGCCCGTAACAGGCAGCGTGGGTTATATACTCCCCAGGGAGCTGAGAATGATACTTGAGTGTACTCTGATCCAGTGACCAGGGTAACAGCGCTTTGGGCATGCCCCTGAGTGGTGTGGAAATATACGCAATATCAACAGCCTATTATTATTATCATTATTCCATTACCTCACAAATACATCTGTCTTAATTGTTAAACTGCCCTCTTCTTCATTCATTTCTTATTGTGCAACCGCTTACCTAGCAACGCATCCCCTTTGTCAGCCATTTTCATTCTACATCCTTTTAAAGTTAGACCATACATGTATGGTAACACAAGTTACCTCCCCTGATACAATACTCTAGTTAATCTGTCTTGCCATGACAGATCAATGATAATAACATGAAAGAATTGGGTGTTCTTTAACTTCTTTGTAGTAGAATACTTCATCACAGAGTTTATTAATTGATGTAATCTCAAATACTGTGAGTGAGTTTGTTTTAACGCCACATTCAACAGAATTCAAGTTATATCACAGAGTGTCAGCTTGATGTGGGAGGAAGGCCAGTGACGCAGGTCATAAATGTCAACCACACCTGCTAACAAACCTGGAAACATAATTGGGGGGAACTGGGATTCGAACCCACAATCATAGGTTCCTGGCATGCCCAAGGGACACAACTCTGCACACCACTAACATCACTATTTACCATAAGAGAAAGTAGCATTAAACCCAACTCCCGGAGGTAGTAATGTACATGTCAGTGCTGCCTGCACCTACCTTCATCTTGCCACCTTTAGTCCACACTGCGCTCCCACTCTTCTCGTTGTACCCTGAAGGAATCTCCACGTGTGTGTCATGCAGGGACGTGTAGACCAGGAACTCCTGAAAGAAACCAAGATGACATAAATTGTTTGTTTGCTTCTTGTTTAATGCGTCACTCATCAACATTCCAGGCATATAATGACAGGCCTGTAAATAATCATTGTGATATGATGAGACGCAAGTCACAAAGTCTGACCACCCGATCCTTCCTCCCACGACCAGTATCGGTTGTTTGAGACTTGTTATCTTGACTCCCAGATCATCTTCCCAAGGCAAGTGAGTTAACTGACTATCAAAGTCCAGTTTCTACCCTTGCCGAACTAGGCTGGTATTATGGAGTTATATTTTGGCTGAACTATAAATGAATCTGTGCATATTCCAACCAAAATTGAGTAACGAAAAAAACATCATGTGTACCGTCAACAGGGTGTTGACAGATATTTTCTGTATCTTTTCATGTTTCTTATCAAGGTGCTAAGTAGTTTTGATGCACTTCGTGAGGTAAGATCTGTTTTGTTATGAGCCATGAAATTCCAGCCTAGTTCAGCAAGGGTGGAAACTTGACTTTTATAGTCAGTTAACTCCCTTGCCTCAAGAAGATGTTCCAGATTAACATGATTAATCATTAACTTTTGAGTGTTTTAACACCACAATAAATAATTACTAGTTATTGTCATCGAAATATTTTTAAAAACTTAGATGAGAGCCATTTTAATTTTTTTATATGTTTTATATGAAAATCTAATAATTTCTAATAATGTCAGGATTGTAATAAGTTGGACTGTTAATTTTGTACTGAAAGATATTGTGGGATTTTAATAATTTATTAATGGCAAAACCCAAAGAAATATGCTCATTTACGACATATTTTTGATTGACCCATTCTGTTTTGTATCTCAGTATGTGTTGACAGTATCCCAGTTCACCAGTTTTCAGGTAATTCCATGCAGTTTCAGTAACAACTCAAATATCTGACATTACAAGCTTAATAAGTAGGGTTACTTCACCATAGCAGTTACCTTGTACACAACATTACCTGCATAGCTGAAAACTTGGCCATCCCTTGACCGTATTCCTGAAGTGCTTCGTGGTGCTCAGCACTGGAATCAGAAGGTGGTTTATGTCTATCAGTATTTGATGGTTAAAAAGTCATTTTGTTAATGTGAAGGTATCCTCGGAGGTAAGTAGGGACAAGATATATGGAAGAACAACTTCTTTATCAAGCGATCACCCTTTGTGATCAGCCTCCCCTTCTTTGGAACTGTAAGACAAAAAATTCGGGGTTTGTTGTTTAACGCCACACTCAGCTATATTCCAGCTATATGACGGTAGTCTGTAAATAATCAAGTCTGGGCCAGACAATCCAGCGATTGATATCATGAGCATGAATCCACGCAATTGAGATCGATGACATGCATCAACCAAGTCAGCGAGCCTGACCACGATCGTGGTATGAAACCTAACGCAGGATGCATACCACGAGTGACTCTGCTACAAGTTATACTAACCCAATGAAAGTCAGCAAGCCTGACCAGTGCACACCCAATCCCAGTAGTTGCCACTTACGACAAGCTTGGGTTGCTGAAGACCAATTTTAACCTGCATCTTCACGGGGCCCACACTTCGGGAATCCCCTATCCTACTTATTGGAGACCTCAAAAATTTATTGAGCAAGAAGACAATGTATAAAAGTAGTTCCTGTCAGGTGACCTCATTTGTACATATACAGGATCAAGTTACCAAGTGTATCGGACTGGTTCATCACATCAATAACTCCATCCATTATATGAATCAATAAAATAAGTACCTACATCATGCTGACAGCCATATTGGCAACTGGCGGCAGATCCTGTATCTTGTGTAGCATGTCTCGGGTTAGATGGGGAGCACTGCCTGTAACAGTAACATCACAGTAGGGCTCATCTTCTTGAGTCAAGGGACTTAAATGACTATAAAGTCCGGTTTCCACCCTTGCCGAACTAGGCTGTAATTATGGAGTTATTTTTGCGCTGGACTAACGAGTTTATGCAAAGTCCAATCAAGATTGCGTAGCGAAATTGACATAGTAAACAGTCATGTAGATAGTGGTCCATTGCAGGATTACCAAAGGATGTGTACCGTCAACTTAGCATCAACAGATATTTTCCAAATCTTTTGATGTTTTTCGGGTGGTAAATTTGGTCTTGTCCAAGCCCTACTCATCTTCCTGAGGCAAGGGAGTTAACTGACTCTAAAAGTCCAGTGTCCACCTTTGACAAACTAGGCTTGAATTTCTGGGTTCGATCATAGCGCCACTAGTGGCAATTATGAGTTACGTCCTTTCTATGTCCCTCCTATTGACCAATCAGATTCCATCTCTCATACCACTTGTATTTTCTTCAAACAAATTGGTGGTGCCATGTCAAGACGATCTGATCGATAATCAAAATCTATATTGTGATAAACGGGTCTTACTTCGTGAGGTGCATCCAATCATGTGAGCACCTTGATTAAAAACATGAACAGATTTGGAAAATATCTGTTGACACCGAGTTGGCAGTACACATGCTTTGAAATGCTGTAACTAACCGAAATCTGCACTGGAGTTTACGTACAGGATGTCGATATTGATTTGGACTATGCACAGCCAGAATATAAATCCATAATTCCAGCCTAGTTCGCCAAAGGTGGAAACTGGACTTTCATCATTAGTTTACTGCCTTGCCACAGGAATGTTCGTTGTCAGTATTTCACCATGTTCATTGAACTACAACTTCTAACTGGGACAAGTAAGAAGGTTATTGGTGGGGCTGTTATGACAGGAGCTACACTATCTATACTCACCTCCCCTGGTGTACAACATACAAGTGGGTGTTTCCACAGTCTTCATGAATGGTCCAATGTTCTCAATCTTACCCAAACGACAACTGCCATTTGTAACACTTTTCACTACAAATTTCATTATCCTTTTCTTCATATATCAACTTGTTTCTGAAAACAAAAGCTTTCTGTTTAAATCATGTTAAATAGAAGTAGCTAAATCATCTTATCTTTGAAAGTATTTTTTGTTGGGAGGGGTTGCTGCAGATGGAAGATGTGTTAGTTCTGGGTTAATCCTATTTAATTAATAACATGAATAAGTTAAGGCTTGTTGTTATAACTGTAGGGGTTATGTGATGTAGGGGTTTTAGGAGGATACTTCTAATCGGTTTCAGGTGATTATTATCATGATTATGCTGGAATCAATTAACTTAAAGGGAAACACTGCTCCAACTTTGAAAGTATTGAAATATGGATCAGCTTTTTCTTCACAGAATGAAAATTTGCTTATTACGGACTATAATTTTGCTTGGTGTGATTGGAGCTATTCTCGCTGTGCTGTGTGAAGTGACACCTATCGGCATATCAAAGAATGATATAAAACAAAGGTTATAGGCCCTACAATGAACAGCTGCAGCCAAACTGATATGTAAGTTAATCTACTCCTAATTAATATAGTAATTATACCTGTAACAAGGTCTCTTACTGAGCAACAAGTGAATGACGACAAATACACAGGTGTAAATTTATACCATGAAACATGGAAAACAAGAGGAATAGTAATTGTTGTATTATATGCAACTTGCCTGAAAGGGCCGTTGCTGTTTTGAGTATATAAACTGAACTTCATTCCTATGAGAGGATTCAGGGGACTCCCCCTCGTTGTCCCCCAATTGCCCCCTATATTGTTGGGTAGCTGACGTTCTGGTATCCGGTGATTATGCAGGCTAACTAAAAAGGTGCCGGCTAGACAGCAAAGAGTTGGAGCATTGTTTCCCTTCATCATGTTCATAGAACTAATTAAACATGTTTAATCATGTTAATGTTTATATCAACAATCAAGTTGTTGCAGTAATGGTTGTTTCAAACATATTTCTTTCATAAAATGTGTGAATCTGGATCGTTAACAAGTAAAGACTTATATTTATTACCACTCCATATGTCAAACAGTGTCGTCAATTACAGTAAACAGTATAGTAAGATTTTGCAGCCTTACTACGTACATGGCCTGCTCGTCACAAACCAGGCTGATAGTCAATAGTGAGACAAAATATTGTTTTCATTTCTATATAATTTGAACGAATTTGAAATCTATTTTTTATACTATCAGACATGTATTTTTGTGTTTTTTATTAAACTAAATTTAAAAAAAAGGACTTACCCTAAGGTTGTAAACAACGTAAACAGTTCAACATAACAAACAATACCGGTACACACGTGAAATCACAATCCGGAAGTGTAAGGGAGCAGTCAATATACTAGAATACAACATGATCTTTAAAGTATATCTTTTGCAACTAATTTCAGTATGTTGCTAAATATGGGTGTATTTATTTGTATAAAAGGTAGATATATTTTTATTTGAAATGTTTTATGCTTTTCTCAGATATGTGTCAATTTTTCTTAAATAGTCATTCAACACGATATTCAATGTATGCTCCCTGTAAACATATTTACCTTCTTTGAAGAGTGTTTCCTGTTTTACCGAGACGGTAACGTTAGAAATTGAAAATAATGGTTAATTTACATTTTCCAGCAACTCTGACCGAAGAAGAGGAACAGCTCAAACTAAAATATGCGAAACTCAAGAAAAAGGTACACATAGAAAACGTCTTATCTGTAACAAAGCTTTGCAGGGCTCTAACCTATTCTCTGTTCTCAGCTGGTTCTTCATCTAAAAAGTTGATACACTATCTCAGTAAATTTGGACATTGTGTTTACAATAAAATGGATTGTGTACCAGCATTTGTCTGGGTTAAGCAGTCTCAAGCAAAATTTACATGTAACCTTTTTATGATATCTTAACCCTGTGTATTGCAGAAAAAGGCTTTACAGCAGATGAAAACCGCCAAACCAGAGCCCCAGGTTGTGAAAGAAAAAGAAGCAGCCAAGAGACGTATGTGTGCAAAGACGTAATTAATGCCACAAGTGCAAGAATCATGGAAATGTCACTGTGCAATTAGAATAATCATGGATCGTTGACATTTGTATATAAATAAGAACGGGAGTAGTGCACTTTACCAGATCCAATTAGCGCTGTGGGTGCTCGAACGTGCTTTGATCCCTTAATTAGCTGACACTCTACCACTGATCCACGAGCGCTATCACATGTCATCAGTCCTCGGTTAAGGGCCATTAGCACCCCATTACCATGCATGAGTGATTAAGCAAACCATGTTAAGTAAACAATGAATTGCACATGTGTGTGACTTCACGGACCGCTCTCCCATTCATCTTTTCTTGAAACCACACCCGCCATTGTTTATGTCAACATGACGGACCAACAAGATTAATGCTATAAAAGGTCAGAATTTATGGCTAACCCTTGCCCTAAGCCAGCTAACCCCAAGGACCCAAAAGGGGTGTTGGATCATAAAGATGTGTAAGTTTCCGTAAGACCAAAAAGGGGTGTTGGATCGTGAAGCGAGAGTCACTGGAGCGTGAGCCATGGTCACGGTATATTGAGACAGTGGTCGCACTATAGCGCGGTAATTGAGCAGATGGTAGAGCTTGGATTGCGCCTGGTAAACTGCGTTGTTGCCATAGAAAGAAATAACGAAAAAGTCATAATTATTCAAGGGAAACACAAAACTCTAGTCCCAGTTGAAATATTGAAATATGAATCAGCTATTTATTCGCGGAAGCACTGCAGGGAGATTAAAACAACTCGGAGCTGCACCTCTCATGGTTTATTCTCCCTGCAGTGTTTTATTGTACGATAAACAACTCCCACTCGCCCTTTATCATGTCTATTTCTTAAATGAGGTAGTGTCAAACTTGTTAAAGGTAGGGCTACTCACATTACTTTTATGATGCATTAACGGCCGTGGCTTGGGGCTCCCCTTAATTTGGTTATGCATTAATTTTTATAATTTATAGTATTTATACTTTTCAGCACATGAGTCAGCTGGTGATGCTATGATTCAAGCAAAGAAACTTGTCCAGAAAGGGGTTGGTACTTCACAATATCGTCTTGTCACTGCTTCTACCATAGGTATAGAATGTACAAGTGCTCATAAGACATTGCTTAAACAGCAACTTTATATAACAACAGCTATAGCCTTTTTATCATTGGCATTTGTTTGGGTTTGTAAACATTTCATGCACAGAGTAGGACTCATTTGACTGCCTTGGCTTACACAGTCTTATTTCATTTGCTGACTGACCTGTGAAGATCCAGGTTAGAATAGGTCTTCTGCAACCCATGCTTGCCGTAAGAGGTGACTATGTTTGTTATAAGAGGCGACTAACGGGATCGGGTGGTCACGCTCGCTGACTTGGTTGATGCATGTCATCGTATACCAATTGCGTAGATCAATGCTCATGATTTCATATAAAAGTAAGAAGGAATATGTTCATAGTCAGAAAGAAATTTGAACATCTGTTACTTATAATTTAACCATAGAGTTCTAGATAATCTTTGTCATGAAATAACATATCACATGACTAACCACGGGTCTGGGTTGTTCTGTGGGTACCCTACTCAGTACCGGTCCAACCCAAGTACCTGAGTTACCCGTCCCAGTCCTAATCATGATGATTTAGAAATTACACTTATACTCTTATACATGTTAAACAAATAACAAAGACTTAAGCATTTGTACAGTGTGTTATATAATCATCATGGTCATATATCGAATATATGTTGTTTTTATTTCAGTTGATAAAAATAGAATCTGATACCAGAGAGAAAACAGGCTTCAAAAGGTCAAAATACTTAGAGAAGAAACTGAAGGTAAAGTTGTTTTTCACTTGTCATTTATAGATAAGCTAGTTGATTATTTGTAAATAAGCACCTGCACAGAACTGTGCTTATCTCTTCCTGGAATATATACTATTTGCTAAGTTTCACTGTTCAAACTTCAAAGAATCAAATTAAGGATCACAAGGTGTTTGCTTGTTATAATGCTTGAATATTTCCTTTTATGATGTTTATACTTGTTAGCTCACCTGACACAAAGGTTAAGTGAGCTTTTATCATGATTATACTTGTTAGCTCACCTGAAACAAAGGTTAAGAGAACTTTTATCATGTTTATAATTGTTAGCTCACCTGAAACAAAGGTTAAGAAAACTTTTATCATGTTTATACTTGTTAGCTCACCTGAAACAAAGGTTAAGTGAGCTTTTATCATGTTTATACTTGTTAGCTTGTCGCTATATAAGTGCATTAATCTCTCACCTCACCTCACCTCACCTCACCTCACCTCATGTTCTTTGTGCAGGATCCGGAGAAAACTCCTTCTTCATCAGTTAGCTTCCAGCCTTTCTCAGCAGCAGCTCAACACTCTGAGGATGATGAAAAACCAGAGGTAGGTTCCCAGTGTTAAATTAAGTCACTGTAAAGTCTGCTTCACTCGCACAGTAAATGTTCGATACACGATGTTCATCATTCAAAAACAGGAGGCTTAGACACTGTCCTGGATTTAAGATCCAACTGGGCATGCTCTTATATGATATTGAGGATAATTGTTTCAGAATAATTAATATTTATGATCCTATCATTAATCGGATAGACTGGATTTCTTTAGATGATCACTTTGTTACTCGTTACTTGTCGTTAGGTTGTGTTAGGTGGGTATTTTAATTGTGCATTTATATTTATGTAGCCATATTGCACGCAGCTTGGCTGGAAATACGGGGTACGCTTGATAGAATGTGTTAAATATGCACTGATGCATTACCCATCCTGCTTAGCTACATTTCCAGTGTAGGCTGATATAGTAGAGCAATCTAGTAACACGTACACCGATCTTAGTGTCGGTCTACAAATCTAGTGGAGACATGAAATGTCCATCTCATCATTGCAGTGAAATTATTAAGGCCACACAGTTTGAAATTTATGTTTAACGGAATTATTCCAGATTTTCCACACAAGGTCGGTCAAATAAAAATAAAAATATATGTCAATCATTTATTTATTTATATGAAAGTCATTCTGCTGTCTGTGGAGTTAAAACTGCAGGTGGCCTCTTGAATCACTGATAGTGATGCAGACATGGAATATATATATATAACATTTGTTATTGTATAAGAGGGTTTATATTACTAGTAGGACACATAATAAAAATAAATATTTTTATGTTTAATTTATTTCTCAAACTGGCTGCATTTCAGTAGAGGCGGGCGGCTTGTGTAACGAAAAAAACAAACATGTGTAGCCTAATATGATAGCTGGACTTCACGGCATTACACTTGATATGTTTTATGCAGAGACTTTGTGTATCATGTGTATACACATTTCATATAAAACTAGAAGATAACACACAAGTTGAGTAATTTGACCCAAATCCGTAAGCCCCCATGGACTTGACACAAAAAGATTACAAATATAGCACAATTCCACATGTCAATTCCATGCAAGGAATATAGCATCTTCCAGAGGCAAGGGAGTTAACTGACTTTAAAACTAGGCTGGAATTCCGGTTGACTAACGAGTCTCTGCATAGTCCAATCAAAATCTTTGACCAACTAGACATTCGGTTTGTGAGCAATGTGCAGATTTCAGGGCACTGCAGGATTTGCAAAGCATATGTACCGCCAACTGGGCATTCACAGACACTTTGCAAATCTTTTCATGTTTTTAATCTAGGTGCTCAAGTAATTTGAAACACTTCACGAGGTACAACCCGTTTTATTACAATATGGGTCTGGATTATCGATCAGATCGTCTGACTATGCCCCACCATTTTGTTTGAAGCAAATGAAAGATATATGAAATATGGAATCTGATTGGTCAATAGGAGGAACATAGAAGGGATATAGCTTGTAATAGCCACTGGGGGTGCTACCATAGAGAGACGAGATTCCAGTCTAGTTCAGCAAGGTTGGAAACTGGACTTTTACTGTCAGTTAACTCACTTACCATGGGAAGATGGGAACATAGAGTGAGAACCGAACTGCATGAACATTGCTTTCCCCGGGAATATGGAAGCAGTGGCTGTTTTTTCCTATTTAAAGAATAGATACTATTCCCTTTGAGTAGTACATTTAGTCATTTTGTAACATCAAACTGGGTAACAGAGTGAGTGAGTGAGTTGGGTTTAACGCCGTTTTTAACAGTATTCCAGTTATATCACGGCGTGTCAGCTTAATGTGGGAGGAAAGCCCGAAGTGATGCAGGTCTCAGATGTTTACCACTTCGGTGAAACCCACGAGCACGGGTATGGTGCTGACAAACCTAGAAACAGTATCCGGGCGAACAGGGATTCGAACCGACAATCATAGGTTTCTGGCGTACCCAAGGGACGCAACCCTGCCTTAGACGACTGGGCCGTCCTTACCCCCTAAACACAAAAACGGATTCTCATAATATGTCAAGTGCAAATCTAAATAGAATGACATATCAGATTATCCCTATCAAAAGTGTAGAAAAAGATGTTTATTTGTTTGTTTAACGCCGCACTCAGCAATATTCCAGCTATATGACGGCGGTCTGTAAATAATCGAGTCCAGACCAGACAGTCCAGTGATTGATATCAGGAACATTGATCCATGCAATTGGGATACGATGACATGCATCAACCAATGAACCACCTGACAACCCGATCCTGTATACATGATGAAGACTACATATAACATGTGTCTCAGATTAATCAGGAAAATTGTTTCTGTTTTTAGACTTCAACCGCCCGTCCTAAAGTAAAAGGGTTGTATGAGAGTTTTGTCAGCACCGGAAACAGTGAGTATTAGAATGATAAAAGGATTGCTTTTAACCATAATAAGAGTCAATCGTCTCAGGTCGTTTGGCTTCTTCCAAACTGTGTGTTTGATTTGGTTATCATTTGTAGTTTGTCAGTGCAATTACATATCCGCTGAATTGTTGCAGAATGGTTGTCATGCAACATATCTGCTGAATTATCACTGAAATGGTTGTCGTGCAATATTTCTGCTGAATTATAATTGAAATGGTTGTCGTGCAATATTTCAGCTGAATTATCACTGAAATGGTTGTCGTGAAATATATCTGCTGAATTATCACAGAAATGGTTGTCATGCAATATATCTGCTGAATTATCACAGAAATGGTTGTCATGCAATATATCTGCTGAATTATCACTGAAATGGTTGTCGTGCAATATATCTGCTGAATTATAACTGAAATGGTTGTCATGCAATATTTCTGCTGAATTATCACTGAAATGGTTGTTGTGAAATATATCTGCTGAATTATCACAGAAATGGTTGTCATGCAATATATCTGCTGAATTATCACAGAAATGGTTGTCATGCAATATTTCTGCTGAATTATAACTGAAATGGTTGTCGTTCAATATTTCTGCTGAATTATCACTGAAATGGTTGTTGTGAAATATATCTGCTGAATTATCACAGAAATGGTTGTCTTGCAATATATCTGCTGAATTATCACTGAAATGGTTGTCGTGCAATATATCTGCTGAATTAAACCTGAAATTGTTGTCATGCAATATTTCTGCTGGATTATAACTGAAATGGGTGTCGTGCAATATTTCTGCTGGATTATCACTGAAATGGTTGTCATGCAATATTTCTGCTGGATTATCACTGAAATGGTTGTCATGCAATTATCTGCTGAATTATCACTGAAATGGTTTTCATGCAATATATCTGCTGAATTATCACTGAAATGGTTGTCCTGCAATATATCTGCTGAATTATCACTGAAATGGTTGTCGTGCAATATATCTGCTGAATTATCACTGAAATGGTTGTCGTGCAATATATCTGCTTTATTATCACTGAAATGGTTGTTGTGCGACATACATGCTGAATACTTGCAGGGTATGAGAGGGAACGAGAACGTGACCCTGAGCGTGAGCGGCGAGAGTCGCGGGATGACCGGCGTGACGAGAGGCGGGACCGGGAGAGGGAGCCGCCCAAGAAGGGCCGGACAATCTATATCCACGGCCATGGCATCAGTGAAGAGTTGCTGAGGAAGGCTGGATCAAACTTTGGCAATGTTGTAAATATCACCATGGAAACAGACAGGAAGTATGTACAAAGCTGCATCATTAAATATCATTGTAATATTCATAAACTTATACCTTGTTCTGTACAAATGTATCATTTACACACATTAGTTGTCAGAAAGAATGCATATTTGAGGGACAATTTGATCAGTTGTCTGAGTGCAGTATCACCATGTCAGTAAGGTCCCTATCACAGAGTCAATGAAAGTCATGTGACATAGTGAGTTAGTTGGGGTTAACGCCGCTTTTAACAGTATTACAGTTATATCGCGGCGAGTTAGCTTAATGTGGGAGGAAAGCCTGAAGTGATGCAGACGTTTACCACTTCAGTAAAACCCCCGAGCAAGGGTATGGTGCTGACAAACCTAGAAACATAATCAGGGCGAACCGGGAATCGAACCCAAAATCATTCACGTGACATAGCACAAATTAACCTCAGCTCAATCGAACAGCTGTTTTCTATCAATTTTGAATTTGTTGTGATTCTTTTACAGGGTCATATTAAAACATGTGGGAAAGATAAATTCATTGTAGCGGGATCACTCGGGTACATGGGGATTTATGCGTCCCTCGTCCCCTGGCTCGGGGTATAAAACCTAACACAGGACACATGAATGCTGTTCTTTTGAGTTTAGGTTAACTTGTGCTGTGGCACGGGACTTTCACTGACTTGCATCTTTTGGCTTCAAGGCGGGGTATGAGGGTTTTATTCTGCTTCTCAGAAATCCATGTGCAGCCTGACTTACTCGTGGCAGGGTATAAGAAATTTATTCTCCCGCTGAGAAATTTATTTCCCTCCCAGGCAGGATACATAGTATTTTATCAAGGTCATTCATCATTCTGACATGGACGTATGATAACTTATATTGTAACTCCAATCACATTCTTGATGTTCTTAGACCTGACCAATTTGTTTTCTTGTTTTATGTATTTTCATGGTCATTACCAGTAAGCAGGTAAGGTGATGTAGATTGGAGTTTAACATCACGTTCACGATTATTGCACTTACCGTATTTGGTGACGTGCAAGTACCAGCATTATTCATCACAAGACTCATTATAGTTATACTGAAAAAAAAGATTAGGGATCATGAAATATGTTTACCGTATTCGACGTAATAAGCGCCCAGGCCCCTCTCAAAATAAGAAATAGGGGGCTCTTATTAGAATATTATTTTGCTGGAAAAAAACAGAGTTGAAAGATAAATTTTGTGGTTTATGCTGACGGCCTGACTGTTTATATACGACAGATATATTTTTCCAGAATTTAATCCCCAATAATTAAGGGTGCATATAACACACGAGTGCGTATTATACACGAATAAATAAGTCTTGCGTACATTGATCAATCGGAAGGGGTGCTAATTGGGATTGTTCACTTGCCAATATATTAGCAAATATCGCCATGGGCGCTTATTAGAGCGGGGCATTTATTACGTTGATTACGGTATATGTGAAACATCATTTTACTTTCAAAATATTTGAAACTGTTTTCATTATAACAAAAATATTCATCTTCCCTTACTTTGCCCAGTATAGTATAATGCCCCTGTGAGGGAAAAGTTCAGGAGACAAAATGTTTTGTAATGACTGAGCCAGGATCTGCTCATTATGAGGTGGAATCCTATTTTGGACCAGATTATGATTTTCAATATGAACACATTACCTTCTGTTGTCATTGTTTGATGAGCGTCAAATTATTTGTGAGAGCTGTAATTTGATTGGTCAGAATGTTTTCCAGTCTCTTGCCTTGCCCAATCATATCATTGGCTGGTTATTTGATTAATTTTGATTATTTATGTTAAGTTTTAATGATTAAGACTATTATTTCAACAGTTGTGGGTTTGTGACGTTTGAGAAGCTGGAGTCTGCAGACCAGGCCATCACTGAGGTAGGCAATCATACGAGGCATCCCTAAATAGAACACCTGGAGTAATGCTCAGGACTACTTGCTATTTCTGTGTATATTTCCTTATTAAAAAAGATTCTTTAAAATTGAATCCTTTGTTTAATTTATTAATTTATTTATTTATTATTATATTTACAAAGCGACTCAACTTGAAAAAAAAAATCTGACAAAATTATCCACAGCCAAAGTCAACCCAAAAATCTTAGAAAGATCTAAATTCGATTCTGTTGTCATCACTCCACAGGTTTCTAAGTGCGATGACACACGTTGCCTTATTTGCAGCAATATAATTGAAGCCTCTTCAGTCCAAATTACAAAGGACATTAAATTTACTGTAAAACAAAATATGAATTGTGATACAAGAAATGTTATTTACTTGATTGTTTGCAGTGGATGCAATGAAAAGTATATCGGAAAGACAGAACTTAAATTAAAAAGAAGAATGAATCTTCACCGTTCACAAATAAAGCAGCCACACAACCGCACGATTCCACTCAGTGAACATTTAGATACATGTGGAAGCGGCAACTTTTTAGTTTTCCCGCTATATAAGCTAAATTTTGATCATGAACCTACATTGTTTCAAAAAGAGCATCATTTCATTCATGAATATGCGCCTAAGAGAACTATTGTGACGTCATAGTTCTCCTAAATGTTATGACGTCACATAACTATATGTTACTACTTCATGTCCGTTATCAGTTATGGCCTGATGAGACTCGTACGTGGTACGAGGTGAAAGCACTAGCCAGTTAAAACTGTGTTCAATCTTACTCCACTTATTTAATTATTACTATATTGTGCCTGAGAGTTAGAAGTTCTAACTTAGAACTTTACTGTGCTTACATCCATAGATAGATGTATGGATGGATGGAAGGATGGATGGATGGATGGATGGATGGATGGATGGATAGATAGATATGTTTCTACCATTAGAGCAGTGGAATAAATATCAGAAAAGCAATTTTAATTTCATTTTAATTTTGATATTTCATGAGTTGGTTTTATCATGATGATATGTAATAGCGACTTGAGAAAGATGCAGTTTTTATCTCAGCAGGATCTAAGTCATTTATCAAAATAAGATCGATGTGATATGTATATAACTCTGAGGCACGGGGCTTGTCATATCTTGAGAGGTACTGATGCAGAGGAAAGGATCTGATTTGAACATGATTGTTAACAGGATTTTAATACACTTCTGTCTCGTGAATAATCAATACATGTTTTTATAACACATATCACCTGAAGAGATCCTCATGGGGAATAAGGGTTTGAATTGGTCCTCAGCAACATCCCGGCAACTAACGGGATCGGGTGGTCAGGCTTGGTGAATTGGTTGATGCATGTCATCATATCCCAATTGCGTGCATCAATGCTCATGATATCAATCACTGGATTGTCTACCCCAGACATTATTATTTACAAACTGCCGTCATATACATGTAGCTGGAATATTGCTGAGTGCGGCGTTATACAAAAAACAAACAAACAAACAAATTTACAGACTGCCGTCATTGATGAGATTAAACAAAAATGTGCATGCGCATGCAAACTGAGGAAACATAACGTGAAGTGAATCGTGCACATTTCAGATGAATGGCAGTATGATTGACAACGTGCAGCTCAAAGTGTCCATGGCCAGACGACAACCTACATTTGAGAACGTCACAGATCAGACAGGGCCTGGCTGGTCTACGATAGGTGAGTGTACAAGTTCATCAAGTTCACAGAGAAAAGCTTAATTAGGCCAACTTGAAAATACTTATCAAAATTTCATCCGAAAAAATCAAAATTGTGAGGAGGGAGGCATTTGTATTTTATATCAAACTTTCTTCATAAGTCATCACCAGTGTTCACTGACTGGGGATGGATGTGTTTCATGCGAAGCAGGAATTTGTATATGGTGTTTCATCAAGGAAAGAAAAAAACTTTCACTGGTGACATCTTTGTCTGTATGTATGCTTTAAGACAATACATATTCATTTTGATACATAATACCCCTTTTTTGAAGAGATGTGTCAGCATCATTTGTATGGAGAGCGAAATTTTGGTGATTTGATCTCCTGGCCTCGTCACACCAAAAGACGTTAATAGATAGTACTTGTTGTTACCCTGCCTGGCTGTTGGCATAAGGCATTGGTCAGCTCGGAGTCAGTATACTGTGTCTGAGTGGGGTATTAATGTTTAACTGTGTCATGGTATCTCAGTGAGCTAGCACTATAAAACCAGCATTAGTCCAGGGCAAGTAGATAATAGTTTGTAATAGTCCAGCAATATTTTCACTTGCCCTGTTAAATTACGTAGTTTCATGTTTCATTTACGACAGACAGTACAAAATGTTTCAGAGTCCCTGCCATCTACATTCATCTCCGCCCATCCCTCAACCATGCGTCTTGCACAGTTCTTCTTTCTTTTTTGCAGTCATACTGTTTTTGAGAAATGTTCGTTTTTCATCATGTTTGTTATTAAATCATGTTCTTTGTCCTTGTCCCCCACCAAACCAGATCAAAAACTTATACTCCTATACTGATTGTCATATCTCTCCCGCTTTTGGATTCGATGGCCATTGCGTTTATACAGGTTGCCCAGATACATCTAAGGGGCACAACTCACTAGACACTACCCTCTAAAAAATAATGGCATCCAATATACGATGTCATCAAGTCACGCATGTTTGGATCTCTAGAAATAGCAAATGTTTCATTGTGAAATAAACAACACTTCGTTTATTCTTTGTTCTTTGTGATTTATCTTGTAGCTATCTTATATAAGTTTATAAAATGTCATACTGTTTCAGCTGCAAGCAATTCTCAGAAGGGATCTGGCCACAAAGACAAACGGAATATGGTTGTCTACAATGAAGATATATTCTGATCATAAAACTGATGCGGAAAGTTTGAGTGTCCGAAACTGATGTATCTCACCGATGGAAGACAGTGCGCCATGTACTGCCACAGCTTCAGCAGATTGTGTGGGAAGGATCTGTCAGTTGGTTGATTGTGTGGGCAGGATCTGTCAGTTGGTTGATTGTGTGGGCTGGATCTGTCAGTTGGTTGTGTGGGCAGGATCTGTCAGTTGGTTGATTGTGTGGGCAGGATCTGTCAGTTGGTTGATTGTGTGGGCAGGATCTGTCAGTTGGTTGATTGTGTGGGCAGGATCTGTCAGTTGGTTGATTGTGTGGGCAGGATCTGTCAGTTGGTTGTGTGGGCAGGATCTCTCAGTTGGTTGATTGTGTCAACAGGATCAGTCAGTTGGTTTATGTATCCTGCTCTGATGGAACGGGAAGGCGATCATGCTATCAACCACTGGTTTGCCTGGCTAAATCTCATTATTTACATGCTGCAATGATATAGCTGACATTGTGTTGCTGAAAGCGTAAAACAAGCAATTCTACAGCTGGACAAAATGTTATTTCTCATTGTTGTTTTCAGTGGGAAATTTGAATTAGAATTGGACCCTAGCAACCTATGCTTGTCATAAGAGGCGACTATGTGGATTTGGTGCTAATGCTCTGGCTTGGTTGATGGATTGGGGTGTTGCTCCTAATATCAATCACCGGTTTGTCTTGTCCAGACTCACTTCTTTACAGGCCACAGTCATATAGCTGGAATATTGCGGAGTGTAGTGTTGCACAACAATGTAGTCCATGCAAGATGTCCATATATGAAGGTTGTGTTTACTGTCTGACCATGCTGACAGGTGCAGATGAATCGAAGTGAATTATACTACTCACCATTTGTTAAGGACACAAGCTGTTTCATACTGTGATGTTACGCTAATACAATTGAATTTAACTTTGTATTAACTTGAAATGAAGCTGCAAATTTATATACTATTTGTAAGACACCATATTCAAGCAATCGGTCTCATTCAGACTCTACCTGGATATTCCCAATCCCTATCAAAACTTGAATAGTATATATAAGCTGAAGTTGTTCCATGTCTTGAATGTGACTCTCTGACATCGTTACCTGGGAATGTTTCAGCTACAGTTGAGATTCATACCATCCCGTGAAGATCCCGGTAGAATAGGTCTTCAGCAACCCATGCTTGCCATAAAAGGGGACTATGCTTGTCGTAAAAGGCGACTAACGGGATGGGGTGGTCAGGCTCGCTGTCTTGGTTGATGCATGTCATCATATCCCAATTGAGTGGATCGATGCTCATGATGTCAATCACTGGATAGCCTGGTTCAGACTTGTTTACTTTCAGATCGCCATCATATAGCTGGAATATTGCTGAGTGCGGTGTTAAACAACAAACCAACCAACTAATCATACCAGCCATCTCAAATATGCATCATCCGGTGCCATCTGGGGAATGACAGCTATATGCTCAGCCGTTATTGTGCAGTGTTTGAATAAACAAAACTACAATTCATATAATGTTGATTGACTCAGTCTTGTCATTTGGTCGTGTAATTCAGTGAGTTATTATGCCTGGTAATCAGCTTGCAAGTCCAGCTCTAGATTGTGATAAAGCCCACCAAAAAATACTTGTATTTCAGGTAACCATGGTAACTTGGACCCAACAGGTATGAACAGAACTCATGTTAGTTAAAATGTTTCTCAAACTATGTTCCCGAGGCAAGGGAGTTAACTGACTCTAAAAGTCCAGTTTCCGCCCTACCCAAACTAGGTGGGAATTATGGAGTTATATTTTGCCTGGACTAACGAGTCTTTGTATAGTCCAATCAAAATTGCGTAACGAAATCGACATAGAGTTCACAAACCTCCGCGCAGATTTCGGTCAATTGCTGGATTGGCAAAGCATGTGTACTGCCAACTCGGCGTCAAAAGATATTTTCCAAATCTTTTCATGTGTTTAATCAAGATGCTCACGTGATTTGATGCACTTCGCGAAGTAAGATGCATTTAAACACAATATATATTTTGATTTTCGATCACATCATCTCTGGGCGATGCGGTTTTGGTTGAAGCAAATGCACGTGATAAGAGAGGTGGAATCTGATTGGTCAATAGGAGGGACATGGTAGGGACGTAACTCCACATAACCATTGGTGCCAACGAATTACAGTCCGGGTCCTTCTCAATCTCTGACAGTGTTGCGCTGTCAGTAACTGTCCTCTGTAAGGTCTGTAAGCCCTATTTCCTTGAGCCCTGGGTCGCCTGGCCACTGTCTGTCGACTGACCATATGTCCCGAAGGCAATCATCACTGATTACCGGCCTTGACCGGGTGTAGTTACACTGGGTCTGCCTCTTCTTGGCCTGTCTGATGTCTGCCCGGTCTGTCTGTAACATTAAATCAGGTAAGTTACAGCAACACGGAGTAACCTAAAGCATGGCGGCTTCCATCGGTACCTTGATCAGGGCCCGCTCGCGTTGTTCGGGTGTCAGTCGTGGCATTTCTGTTTTTTCCATCAGCGTGAGTGTCCTCTAACATGCCGTCCGCATCATTTATATACCCATATTTTTTTAATTTGACGTTTACACGATATACGGCTTTTCCATTGGACAAGAGGTCGATCACATGACCGCGAAGTCGACGTTCATAAGTGTATGAACGACACAATATTTGACGTTCATACGTTTTTCACGAGACCGTGTTCTTGAAATGACGTAAACACTGACGGACTACTTCCACATTCATGGGGAAACCCCTGGGAATTCCCTAGCACGAAAACATACATAAGCATTATTTCTGATCATTTAGAACCTTTAATCTTGGTCTCAGCATTTAATTATACATTGAGAAACGTAAGAGAGCTTAACTGTATGATTGTTCAAGAATTCCTCGCTACGGCCCATCCTAATGAACAAACGAAAAATTCACATCCAAACTATCGTCAGTATCGACTCGATCTGTGTCTAGGCTGACAGTGACCGTCTCCAGCAATCTACAAATTTACCTTAATGTCTGTTTGACGCATCTATAATCACCTTTCAATAATCGGTCAGTTGATCAATTATGACTTACACATGTAACCGCCACAGGTTCATTAACAACTTCGGAAATCCTCCCGTCACGTTTATCGTGTCGGCCATTTTGACGTCTTGTACTTGATGTAAAGGTGACTGACTTACTGAGGTAGTTCATTACAGACCTTTCCCATCTAATTGGGATATTATATGAACACATGTGTTGCGTAAGATGTTTCTGAAGAGCAAGTTCTGCATCCATACGCTCAGGCCACCTCTCTTTTTGGGGAACTATTTTATTCCGCGATATAGCTGGTTGTTGTTTGGCTGTCAGTGTAAACATGAAGTCACACGTACTAAATAAAATTGTGTTTAGATCTTGGCCTACGTCCTTTGAGGAAAGAAATTGTGATAAAAAATTATAAGAATTGACTTTCACTTTGTGTGAGTTCATTGGAGTATGAACCTGCATAGAGTGAGGGCCAAACATTGTATGACCGTTGTCGAAAGCTCCGACGTTCATACAGTTTGGCCCCCACTCTATGCAGGTTCATACTCCAATGAACTCACACAAAGTGAAGGTCAATTCTTAATTACTACCCTTACGTCTTGGACGTGTATCACTTTCCACATAGAGTATTGTTGTGTTTGGGCGATGTGTTTCGTATTGATTTAGTTTGGAATTGCGTTTTTAAGTTTTTGCAATTTCATTTTCAAAGTGATAAAGTTTCTTTGGCCGTGAGTTTATTATCAGTACTGCTACACAACCATACTAATACTATTAAACTACTACTTAGACTACTACTAATATTAATACTAAGAAAATACACTAACAATAATACTGCTACTCCAAATTTTGCTGAGGATCACCACTCGGGAAATACGTCAAATTGTGTGCATCTGTTGAAATAGCCAAAGACAATATTGCGTTAAGACATGTTAAAAACAAAAGTCCGTTGTCATGTGCCAAACAATGACAACAAACATGTAACCAATAATGTGCCCGGTCACCCGACAAAATGAGAGTATATGACCAAAACAAAAACGTCAAAAATCAAAAGGCAACCCGCAATAGCGCTTATGTGATCCACGTGATGCAATCACAGACTGGAACCGTAGTCTGATGCTCCCATTAAGTGTCTTAAGTGTCTTGTAGAGTTCCCGGAAGGACATGGCGTCGTGAGGGCGATCTACTGCTCGTTCCGCATATGTTCGATAGGGTTGAGGTCTGGTGGTCGGAATGGGCACTCCATGCGGACAGTGGTCTCCTGCTCCAAGTAGGCATCAATGACCCTGGCGGGCTGAGGTGTGTTATCGTCCATGAGGATGAAGTCCGGCCCGATTACGCCAGCATATGGTCTCACGTCTTTCCCGTAGTGCACACCTGTCATCGTGCTTCACTGTAGTACATGGAGATCGGTTCTGCCAGCTCTCCTTATCGCACCCCAAATCATGAATGAACGCCTTCCATAGCGGTCATTTTCGGCTGCGTTGGAGTCCTGAAATCTTCCAGAGTCCAGACAGTATCTCGGTTCATCAGTAACAAGAACTTGGGCCAAATTCTGACCAACTGACGTGCTCTTCAGCCCAATCAAAACGTGCCTGACTGTGATATTGGTTCAGTGGAATTTAAATGTATGCACTGTGAGTAAAAACGTTTAAGCCGCTGGCGTTCCGCAGGTCATTTCTGGTTGTGGTGGCAGTCACGAAATGATGACGTCTTGCTGCAATCAGGAAAAGCCTGTCTTCCCGCTGTGTGATGTAACGCTTTCGACCATCTGCATGTTGCTGGGTAGCCTATCCAAATGTCTGGTATCGATTCCATGCCCTACTGATCACACTTTGGCTGACACCAAAGACGTTTGCAACGTGACGTTGTGTTGACCCAGTTTCAAGCATTCCTATGCATCTGCCTAATTATTCTGTCGTCAAATGACATCTTTGACGCCGAAGCGATATAAGTGCATTCAGGTGTTGCAACCCTCAGTAGCAAATGTTGTGCTATCTGATAATGATTTGCAACGACTCTGTCACGATACATCCGAACACAAGTTTTCAAGCACCTTAAGCACCTCGTGCCAATGACTCCATGACTCTGTCCGTTCATCGTGAATCTGGCTTCTCATATGGGTTACTCATTCGTGTACCGGGATATTTCAGTCTTTATTTGTTGGGAATTTTTTCATATAATCAAAACTTGATCCTTAGCAAACTTTGTGTAGTATACTATCTATTTAGATTATACACTAAACTACACACCAAGCTATACTCTTATACTACTATCACGTATCACGTTTTTTTACATCACTTTAATACACTTTTAAATGTCCATACAGACAAGGGGGCGTGGGTGGCCAAGTCGTCTGAGGAGCCGCGATTGGCTGTGCAGAGTTGCGTCCCTTGGACACGCCAGAAACCTATGAGTTCGAATCCCGGTTCGCCCCGATTATGTTTCTAGGTTTGTCAGCACCATGGTTTCACCGAAGTGGTAAACGTCTGAGACCTGCATCACTTCGGGCTTTCCTCCCACATTAAGCTGACAAACCGTGATATATCTGGAATACTCTTAAAAGCGTCGTTAAACGCAACTCACTATACAGACAAGGAAATTGTCCAACGACAAAATATAGTTCCGGTCTAACACGACTGAATATTAATGACAACAGATAGCCACTTGTAAATTGTCCTCCACGACAAACAATGGGAAGTTGAATTGACCTCAGTCAATGTATTGTCTAAAATGACCACAGTTCATATCCAAGAATATGTTTGTTTGTTGTTTAACGCCGCCCTCAGCAATATTCCAGCTATACGAAGGCGGTCTCGGACTGGACCAGACAATCCAGTGATTGACATCATGAGCATCAATCTACGCAGTTGGGATACGATGACCTGCATCAACAAAGTCAGCGAGCCTTACCACCCGATCCTGTTAGTCGCCTCTTACGACAAGCATAGTCGCCTTTTAAGGCAGGCATGGATTGCTGAAGACCTATTCTTACCGGGATCTCCGGGAACGAGGGATATATGTAAGTACAGCATTAGTGAATACTGCATTCACTCACTCCCCTTTGATACAAAACCTTATAGGCAACATCCGTGATGGACACAGCGACGTGGTAGCTCATGTCTGCCTCCCCTGTCCAGGTGCCTACCAACTTGTCCCCAGGGTAAGACGAAATGTCATACCTGTGTGACCTGACTGTGGAAGGACGGTACACGAGGGTGGTGTTAAACAAACATAGCTATAGACATATTGAAGAACGTACAGGGTTATTTTGCATGAAGTTTGTTATACAGTCCAAACCGAATTCTGCGGTAAAATTATTAAAAAAATCTGCGTTTAAAATTACTAAATTCTGCTGTAAAACATAATCATTTCCCCTCAAAACTAAATATAATCTCATTTTACTCTAAAACTTTTAAGCTCTTTCAATGGCTTGATATAAACATAGATTCTGTAGTCATAATGCCACAAGAAAAGGAAAATTACTAGGTCT